CCCTACATGGCTTAAACCAACAGTCACAGACTTCATACATTGGTGCCATGTTTTAGTCTGGCCACCTCGGGCCTTTTTCCAGCCTGAACCCACCTCAGCCAACATTGTGTGACGAGGCAATCGGTGACTAGGCATACGTAGTACGTGTCCCAACCATCTCAGTCGATGAAGGTTCATAACTTCGTCAACTGACTCACCTCTTCTCCCCAAAACTCTACACCTAACTTCTGCATTACTCACGTGGTGACACCACGGAATACGTCCTATTCTACGAAGGCAACGGTGGTCAAACACCTGAAGCCTTTTTGTATCCTCCACTTTCAAAGGCCATGTTTCACAGCCGTATAGTAGAACAGAGCGGACTGCTGTGCAGTACACGCGACCCTTAATAGACAAACGAATATCACGGCGGCGCCATAGGTGGCGCAAATTGGCAAAAGCCAATCCTGTGAGGTTATCAGGGTCCCATCGTTTTCGGTGATGGTTTCACTCACCATCATCTTGTTGCTGGTATCCTTGAGAGACTGGTAGTTGGTGTGTGCTGCGCAACGATTGTGCCTTGTCCATCCCTTTCACTTTCGTCATCCACGACTGCTTCCCTTGTGTTCCCTACGACCGCTAAGACGCATACATACAGAAGACCGTACTGACGCTTGATGTTGGTCGAATGTGGTACTCCAGAATGAGCCACAATTTCGGACCGATCCTCTCCAGCAGTGGCTTACAGCAATGTGATCTACTTGTTTCCGTCGTTGGTTTGAAGTTGGCGGATACGCTGTCAGAAAGGGTTTCTCCTTATGCTTAAAGTTAGTGCTGGCCAGAAACAAATGGTTGACAGAACAAAATTGGAGCTAACGATTACCGTCGTCAGTCGATTGGGATGGCATTCTGTAAATTCCCCCAAGATGACTTTCCGACTACCTCAGCTTCTCTACTGAAGTTTTCAAGTACCTACCACTGTGACTACATAAGAATGTTTTGCTTTCTGTAGAAGAATTGACAGGTGATGATAGAATTCGTCCTTTGCATCATCCGAACTGCAGTTGGTAGTTGTTTGGGTGGTGACTATGAATAATCATCAGTTGGTTTCCTGATCTTTCGTAGCTCTAACAGATCCATTCAGTCAAATAGCAAATAGACGGCTGCTTACTGGTATCCAGTCGAGAAGCGCATTTTCTGTCTCACAGCTCACCGCTATCCCTACACCAGTGAGTCCATGAGAGCTAACCAGTGGATTTCCACGTAACCTTAAGGTGAATTTTGAAGATTCACTGATATGGCCAGGTACGGTCAATTTAATAACCATACTCGGGTCATGTATACGTGTCTCAGCGACACAGCATACAACAGTGACTTGAGATCCCAGAGTTCATGCGAGCAGTGCTTGCTGTCCGGTTCGGTATAGAGTTCGGACGTCGAAAGCTCCTACATGAAATCGATGGCGGCGAGTGAGGATTTGGTGGCTTCGGTCGTTCGCAGTGGTTACATGGCGGGAGGTTGGGTAAAGCGTGAGAGGCTCAATATTGGTATGAGGTGGTGGAGAGAAAGGAGGCGATGGAGTTGAGGAGGATAGGTTATCTTTAATTAGGTCTAATTTGTGATTGAAATTTCCTGGCTACCGTAACCATGGAAGTCGGGTTCTTCTTGTGTTACCTGAAAATGAAAGTATTGTTTTTTGCCTCGGAGACCATAGTCGGTCACACGGTGTTCTGGCAAGTTTGAGGTTTTGTTTTATTCTTGGGAGCTCCACTTTGACTCCTTTTTGCTGGCATCGGCATCCGACAGGTGCTAGGAGTGCGCTGTATTGGTGGCTGACCTTTTCTACTTACCCCTTCTAGTTAGCCCGCAGTATCATCTTGGCACTGGTAGTCATGAAAGGATAGCAGCTCAATGGTATCACACCATGTCCAGTCTGTAGAATGACTTCGCCCTCAGACGTCTATTATAGTCGCAGTTTCACTGGAATTCTACCTGCTTTTTATCCAACCACTATTCAACAGAACCTTCTAGTATTGCAGGACCTCGAGTAAATAAGCGCCCCACCTGCATAGCTGGTTGAGCCGTCGTTATATACAAACTTGAACACCACATCAAGGTTGTGGTATCGGTCAGAGAAAGGTCCACTGGATATCGATAACTCTGCAAAAATTAATGAATGCACAGAGATGTACCGCTGCAGACTCCAAAGACGGTACGTAAGAAAAGTAATTGAAATGTAAATTGACAGTGAATGTGTACCATAGTAAGCACTGAAGATTGAAGATATTGAGAAGGCAATGAGAGACAGTTGTTCATCTGTTTTAAGGGGAAAGAAAAATTGTCAATGTTTAGCGAAAGCAACTCTGAGAAAGGTGGGACTGTAATTTAGTCTCAAGGAAGATAACATGAAACGATGAGCATGAAATTTCGAAGAAGTGTTCAGGTGACCAGTTTTAAACTATAACTATATAGTCACAGCCAGAGCAGAATATTGACATGGTCTCAGTTTCTTTCTGAAGTTGAAACTGTGGCGAATAACCTGAAACAGAAAAGAGCGGTGGACATGATGGCCTAATAGATGAAGTAATTTGAGATGCTAGTCGGGAATTATCGGTTAGGATGACTGGTACGTCAGATGAATTAAGAATCAAGTCTGGTACTTCACGAATAGTCTCAGATACCGATTGGTCTAGTTCTCGAAAGAAGATGCACTCTTTTGATAACCATACGGGAATCAACTTGACAAGCATACTCAATTGTGTAATGCATAACTAAGGCTTGGGAATTGTGGGGCCACGAAAACCAAACAACTTTCAGACGTGATTGCTTGCATGTCGGCCACATCATTACCATTAACCGGATTCTTAAACAGGTATTCTTAGTGGTACCAGACACTTGGCATGCTTCTGACATGCCGACGACGTTTAGTTCTATTGAACAAGATCTCATGGGAAAGGTTAACTAAACAAGGTGCATAACAGGTACACTGCCTTTCAAAACTTTTTACTCTGATGCCTATGGTCTTGTTACAGTCTAGGATGAGTACTGCACATCAAAGATATTTATACTCTGTCCGCATTTAGTTAATAGTTACGTCTGTGCTTAATGTGGTCTCTCTACGTCTATCTGTCTGTAAATGTTTGATCTCTACACAGTCGAGACCTTAGTTACCATAGAGTATGCATACGACATAATTCTTTTGGGTGAAGTCGTGGACAGGATGTGTATACTTCTGAATACGTTGAATAGGAATTTGAGAATGTTCGAAATGCGTTTGTAACCCATTAAGTTCAAATTGTCGCCCGAAGATGGCTTTTCAGGGTTAACGAACTGACTGAATTTGTTCACTACTTCATTCTCGTAGGAAGTCAGCCGTAGCCTGGTGTGAAGACATACGAAATCCCAGTGTGAGTATGAAAGGCTTGGTTGGCTTTTGTTATTTCCCAGCAACTGGCCCACTGTCGAATATCCATTTAAGCTCGAGTATAGTGGACATCACTAATATTATTTAGCTGTGAAATGTAACGATTAAAGATGGGTGACATTCAGATGTTTGCCTGTTAGCTTTCCAACCCTGGAGGAGTGCATAACGTAGGCAAAGTAGGATGGACGACTGAAGCCATTAAGTGTTGGTCTGAACTAGGTAGAGCAATACTGGTTCGCAAGCTGGAGTCGGTGAGATATCTGTAATTGATGGTTGGAAACTAAGTGTTATAATTCAAAATCGAACACATCGGCGCATGTACATTGCTGCATTCTCTTCATCTTAACCAATACATTACATATGACTGTTTATATCAATTTTTTAAACAGTCGGTAACTTTTACAGGTTTTATTCTCTGAAGAAGCGATTTCTACGAAGTCGTAAAATGTCAGAAATTTATTTTTCTACTTCATTAGGATGTTACAAATATACTTCATTTAGAATCTATTTACCTAATGCTCAGCTTATTCAGCTCTCTCAGCTCAAAATGTTGATTCTGAAGTTTATAAAAACATTGGATTATATGTTGTTATGTCCTCTTTCTCCTCTTCTCTTTGTTCTATGACTTCTATGAATCCTATTTCCACTACTTTTTTCGTCTTACTAAATTGCATCTTTATGTTCGGTGTAGAAACTTGAAGCGATGTGCAGTACTGTCAGTTTACATATTAGTACTGACTACCCACTGAAGGTACACAAGGGGTTAACGCTTCTCTGCTGTTCAAATGATGAAACGCTAACTCACCTTGAGGCATCTTAAGAAGAAAATGGGTTGGTATTGTTAGTTTAATAGACCTGGAAAGGCCGACACTTAATATAAGTGACATCTCGAGTCTTACGAAAAATGACATTTTGGAAATATTTAACAGCACTTTTATCTAAATTGTGCAATGTTTATCAATTCTATGTGAGTTAGTCGTTGCTTTCTGTACTTAGTTTTCGAGTGCTTCTCAATAAAAGGTAACATAAGCTGGTTAATTTATTATTGATTACTCCATCAGAAATCTTGCATTTCTTGGTGGTGATTTTGCATGTAACTACTTCATAAAATTCATTTTGGTTAGGTCTAGAAAAGTGCCCATTATCACCACATGTTTTAGTTTCTGTATGTTAATTTAAGCTACTGGGTCTATCAGCTGCACTGGAATGTGTAAAGTATTATGTGTTTCTTGCATTTAAATTTTGGTAGAGTAAGCCTGGATAGTTTATCTGTTGCATGAAAATTTATAGGATCCAGATCATCAATTATGATCTAGAATGATGCAGTCATTTCTAAATATGCTTGAATTCGCATGCAGATTTATGATTAGTATGTAGAGTTGTGTCTCATTGGTTTGGTGAAATGACTTCCAACCGGCGGGTCATGGGTTTGATCATCGTTCCACCTACTGAGGTTTAGGCAGCTAGGTAGTATCATTAGCCCTCACACAATAGGTGTGAATGTGCAAAAGGTTGCTAAGTGGATTTCGGTTCGTTTTGTCATTAGTAATCTCCCCCCTTTTTAACCTGATTACTTTTTTCATATGTGTATTTTTAGATTTGCAATAATCCTGATGTGAAGGAGTATATTTTCAATTGTGTTGAATCTATTCGACCCCAGCTTTCGGAAATAAATGAGTTACGTGTTATAATTAAGTCGGTTGCCACTAGTTCAGTTGAGTCGGAACCTGTTGAATCACTTGTCTTACATTTTGATAAACTAAATGAAGAGTTTATTCAGTGAGTATTGTTCCACTTTAATTTATTGTTATGCGCATGACGAGTAATTTTTTAGAAAAGTTATCCCATTTTTTTTTCAAAACAGGAGTGTTTTTATACTCTTGAAGTACGTCGATTTTATTTTCTTTATAACAAGGTACTGTTCTCTAAATAATCAGTCATAAATCCTACTTAAGTATATTTACTGGTAATAAACTGTTCATGTGATGCACATTTTTCAAAGAAGTACTTTCAGAAAGATACTCCTGAAGTTGATAGTTTGAAACTCAGTCAGTATACCAGTCTGCTTTTTCTTTTCTTTTTTGGCAACTACCTTTGAAATGTAACGAAACAAATTTTACTTCGCTGTAAAATTAACTTTCGTATAAGTTTCTAATTACTGGACTTCCGAATAAAACTATAATAACTGCTATCTCCTGATTTATTTAATGACTTCACTCCTCGTAACTAAGATCAAAACATATAAGCGAACAATATTGTTTTCAGTTAGATCCTCTTCAGGCTTTATTCTAATACAAATAGCTTAACATATGCATAAAAATTAAACCAATCATGTAGATTTGTCGGTTGATATGATAAATACTTTAAAATAACGATGGTGATAATACTGCTACAAATAATAAAAGTGATAACGTTGACTAAAGCACATGCAATATACATGATAGTGATGATAAGAACCAAGAAAGCAGCATGATAATTAAAATGGGTCAATAGCTTATGAAAACAAGAGTTACGTAACACTGAATGTTGTGATGCCCCAGTCTTGTATAAAACATTGTTATCGATACGAACATTTTAACGTGTCATTCCCACATTATTTTTGCGGTATGATTAATAATCTATTTCTGCCTCCATTGTAATGTCATTCGCTGATTGGTTAACGTTTACTCTTACTATGCGAATTTCTCCAATTGCGGACAAGGTCATTTTTCATGTGTATACTTATTCACGTGTTTTGGATTGATTCATTGTTATTATATTCTCGGAGTAATACACTCTCCCATCTGCCAGCTTCGGTCTTCTCTCTATTCATCCCGGGGTTGCAGTCAGTGTCTCTTGCGTACCAAGTTAGCTGTCAGCTGAGCGCACGCATTATATTCGTTTCGGAATATATACATATACCATTAGCGTCTCGAACTCATAACAATGAAGGACGAAGTAAGTGGATAAACAAAGTTTATACCAGCGACCACCAGGTTCGAATCCAGCTGCGGTCCAAATTTTCATTTCACCTTCAATCACCATCCAGTATAAACTTCGTTGATCCACTTACGTAGTTCTTCAGTGTTGAGTAACTTTTATTTTCATAAGCTTTTGACCTATTTTATTTATCATGCTGCTTTCTTGGTTCTTGTCATCATTATCATGTATATTGCATGTGCTTTAGTCAACGTTATCACCATCGTTATTTTAAAGTATTTATCATATCAACCAACAAATCTAGATGGCTGGTTTTATTTTTATGTGTTCAACTCTTTTTGGAACTCAAACTATTTCTATAAGATCGCTTTTGAATTTACAGGCGTGGGGGTTATCTCAAAAGTTCTTAGAATTTATACAACGTATCCAGCAGATACTTAGCTGTTAGCAGCATTTATATTCAAAATGACCATTGCTGCCGTATATATGTATTGCCTACGGTCAGCAAAACAGTTTGTGGCTTGTACTCAGAGAACCTATGTTGAAGTTCAACACAATGAACACAAAGTAGCCTGTTTGCTGTGAGTTATGACGGTAGCAGAATATGAACTCATGAGTACGGGAGTGGAAGCAGTGAATATGCTCATAATGTGTGCTTGGTTAGAAACTCAAAGTTTAGATTCTGTAATTAAATAACTTAATTACCTAACCGCTAGTGTTACTTATAAGGATCTTGCTAACACATCATTGTGAAGTATGTTTATGATCTGAACTTTAGAATAAATTTTAATGGTCACTAATTTGTTTCCGTTTCTACAGTGATCGCTTAGGATTGAATGCTCTTACTTATGAAGATATTAGGAACAAACTTTGCTGTCTTGCGGTTATCACTGCCGAATCCTAGCCTTTAGTTACAGAGAGAAATATCTGTTCGTTTAGATTAGTTCGATGAGGTCACAAATAAAATCCAGCTGAACCAGCACCGTAGTCAACTAGAATAACTTTAACCCAGCCAAGTTACCTATAGAAAAGCTAATTAATTCACGAGTACGGCCTACAAATAAATATCGATGCTTCGCTCGTCATTCGCTTTTACTGAGCTACTCAGTTCTTTTTTTATCTGCGACTGAAACCAGCACTAAAAATATTTGTCCTTTTGAAATCAGTACATCTGAGAAGTCAGTCGACATATGGAGCACGATCTTAAGATCACTAGCAGTTAAACACCGTCTGACTGCATAAATTGAATCGGGTAACCTACATCTCTGCATTATATGCGTGTAGCATTCATCGATAAACAATAGATAGGTAATATTTATTGGTGAATACTTCTGTTCTGTTTATTTCAGGTTTTAAAATCCTCGGTCCCATCGCTTTAGAAACTGAGAGACTGTTTAACACGCCTTGTTCTTTGTTACCACATGAATTGGCTGGGAAAACACCTATTATTTTTTATTATTTGTCCCTTGGGTTCCTATTAAAACATGGGGCTTCAGTAGCACGTTGACGTTTCACTCTCTTTCTCTCTCTCTGTTTGCAGTCTTTCGAACCTGGCTCCACCACTGCCCATAACCTTTCATTTCTTCCTCGCACGTTCTCCATATGATCAACCTGGGACGCCTAACTCGTCGTTTCCTATTCGGGTTCCACTAGAGGGCCTGGCTTGGTCTGACGCGTGATGACCCCAAATGGTCTTTTCAGAGTATGTCCAGTCCAATCAATCTACACTTTCTTCTGCATATTTGTTAGGCGATGGGTTCTTGGTTGGTTTGTTGTCAGACCAGAGTTTCTCGTTGCTTATTCTTTCTGGCCATCTGATCTTCAGTGTCAGTATCGAGTGAGGGAGCGTGGGTAGCAGCTATTGATGTATGTGTGCATTTTGTTGGAAATGCTTTTTGTAGCGCGCGGCCAAGTCTCTGAACCACCACATGGAAGCACTGACTTGACTGACATTAGTGTTGAAAATCTGGATCTTGTTCACGCTTTATGCTGAGTGCAGTACAGTGCAGTGCAGTGCAGTAGATCTGCACACTGATTTCAGATTAATGCAGGCCTGTCTTGCTGTCTTTCCGATCCTGACTCGGATATCCTCATCTGTGCTACCATCTGTAGTTGAGATGATGCTACCTTGCCTAGGCGTGGGAAAGAGACAACTTCCTTTAGGTTTCTCCTACTGATGGTGATTGGTGCTTGTTATTGTTGGTTGGGTATCTTCATCACATGTGTCTTCTGTAGGTCCACTGGAAGAAGTCCCATCTTCGCTGCCTCCCCTCGCCCCTTCTGCCAACTTGTTAGTTTTCGCCTGTAGATCTTCGAGTTTTTGCGACCAGACATGAGACATAAATCACCATCGGCGAAATCCAAATCTTTTAGAGTCTCCTCATCGGTCCAGCCGGCCTATGCCCGTCATCTCGCTCCTCACAGTTTGTTGCATGATCTAATCCTATCCAGTCGACCACAATCCTGGAAGAACATTGGTGACAGTTGGCGGGAACCTTGTCTTACCCCTGTCTTCACTTCAAAGGCGTCACTGAGATTTCCATTGTGAATCACTCGGCGTGTAGCCTCGTGATATAGCATGTAGCTGTTAAATTAGATGGACGAAGGTTTGTGGCACTAAAACTATAGCGTTGAAGCAGCTGCCAAATACTTTTCGGTCGACGCTTTCGAAGGCCTTTTGAAAATTGATGAAGTTGAGGTTGAGTTGAGTTGACTGCCATTCTACGTTCTTTTCTACGATGATGCGTAGCGTTGCGATTTGATTGCTACATGATTTGTTCTTCCGGAAGCAAGGCAGCCTGTTCCAGTCGTAATTTTGAATCCAGAGCAGTTTTTAGTCTCTTCAGGATGATGTGGCTCAATATTTTGCTTGGTGTAGACAGGAGCATGATTGCTCAACAGTTCTTGCAAAGACTTAGCTCTCCGTTCTTTGGAAGTTTGACAAGGTAGCCCTTCTTCCAGTCGATCGGCAGGCACCTTCACTTCCTTCCAAACTTTCTGCAACAGTGGTGTGAGCATGTTTGCTGTTGTCTCTGTGTCTGTTTTCAGGGAAAAACATCTAAAGTAATGAAAGTAAAGGCTGGTTAAGTAGGTCCACATTATAAGATATGCCTGTTGAGCTTTTGCTTCCAATCTGCTCACATTGTGGTTAATATTCCCATGTAGAAATATTGAATCCAATATGATGTCATGATTTCGAATCAAAATTGGCATCTGTTTGCATGTGGTCAATAATATACTTTCCAGAATGTATTAAAGAAGCCTTTAGTATTTAAAAACTGCTCCGCGAAATGTCAATTATTTGTTCTTTGGTTTCTCACAAGGCTTTGTTTACTTCGAGATCCTTCGTACTCTGCTTACTTCATCTTTGTTCGTTATAGTTATTGAACAGGTACACTTACGTACAACGTTTTATGTTGGTAGATCTGTCTCTGTTTTAAACCTTATACAATGTTACTGATTAGAAAAATGATTTTATCACAAAAATATAGAATATGCTTTTGTGATTGAAAATGATCTATATTTTTGATACACAGCGACAAGAAGGCAGCCAATAGGGGAGTTGTTTTCAAGTCATGATGAGATCATGTTCAGATCATGATTTATGCATGCGCTGACCTGACAACCTGATTGGAGAAATTCGACCTCATACAAGAAATCTGATTGGTTCATTTATGGCTTCACTTTCTGAGTTTTGTAGATACATATATGTCATTTATTTGCATAATAAAGGTTGTCCCTATCCTCGCAGTCGCAGGCCGTCTTTGTTTTCTGATTTTTCTTGCGGCTGAGTGAAGCAGAAGGTACTGAGGTAGGTCAGTCGTAATGGTATTCGGTTGAGGTGTCTATTGAGCCTCAGTATCATTATACCCACGTGCGCAACCCCACCACTCGGTCAACGGTTTTTTTATTTTTGACTATCTGAGACAGCTGTAGTTCGGCAGACTAGTATTGTTACTGGGTGATGATTGAAAGTGAAGTGAAAATTTAGACAACTGCCGGATAGACAAAAATGATAATCCGTATGATGCTCCCCCTCTCTGATTCAGTTAGATTTGGATTGGGATAAGAAATCCTGACTAGGCTGCCAGTGTGAATGCGATCAAGCGGTAGCAACGCGTCATGAATTCACATGACAGTCGGGTAAAACCCTTAGTGATTGAAGTGAAATAAACAACTGGTCAACAGTCGGACCTTGTAGCTCAGTTGGTACAGCACCGGGTCGGAAAGCCGATGGTTGTTGATTGGAATCTGGCCGCGGTCTGAGTTTTCTTTTCACCTAATGATCTATGTTTCTCAAACTTTATCCTTTGGTCGCAATTCATTCTGAAGTTAATTTCCTTTGAATTTTTCGTTTTATAGACGAGATATTTCTTTCTCCTGTTGCAAGAATATTTTGCAACGGTGTTAATTCGTTTGAAGATGCTTGATTCTACGCTACCATCATTGGAATTTGGTACGTTGAAATGGTTTATTCTCTTGATTTTATCTAGACGATTACAAATTCTGAATCGCCGCGTTTAAATACTTATTATTTCTGCTCTAAAGTCTTCGTTTTTAGTAATCTAGGAAACAAAAATCTTTTTAGAACATTTCATCCCATAGAATTTATAAGATCTCTTACTTAGAATGACATTACTCACACTACTGAAGCGTAACAATCAGCCTCTGTTGATACAAGGCGAGGTTCAATGCTGTCAGCAGTTTCCTTTTCTTGTGTTAATGGTGAGATTTGGCGAAATGGTATAATAATCTAACTTCTGGTAATTTTGAAGAGTATGTAAAAACAAGCAATGTACTAACCAAGGCTGATCAGTTCAGTCCAGCAATGTCGACAGCTTGAGATTCAGCATCACACAATCAGGGTCTTTAATATTTCAACAGCCTAGGGAATATCTATCCATATCATTATAGGACCAGGCATTACTGCGAAACGGTCCGAGTTGCCACACCTCACATCAGTACATCAAGTAAAATGTCAATAAAGTGCCAGATGATGATAAGAAAATTCAGTCAGAAGAAATACAAACTACGAAAAGAGAGAAAGGAAGAATGAGAAAATAGTGAGATTAGGTATAACGTCGTTAAGATGAGGATAATGTGTGTATACATCTGCGCCACTGACTTCGGTTCTCAGCCATATCACCTAGAGTCAGGCTCCAACCACTGGTTCCTCTTGTCCCACGGACACCAACCACCTAGTCTGCATCACCCCACATGACTCAAACCAACAGTTAAAGACTTCATACATCGATGCCCCGTTTTAGTCTGTACAACTCGGGCCTCTTCCAACCTGAACCTACTTCGACCAACATTGTGTGACGAGGCAATCGGCGACTAGGCATACGCAACACATGTCCCAACCAGCTATCTCAGTCGATAAAGGTTAACAACATCGTCAACGGATTTACCTCAACTCCCTAAAACTCTACACCTGACTTCAGTGTTACTCACATGGTGACACCACGGAATACGGCAGCCTATACTACGAAGGCAACGCTGGTCAAACACTTGAAGCCTTCTCATGTCTTCCACCTTCAATGACCATGTTTCACAGCCATACAGTAGAACAGAGGGGACTGCTGTGCAGTACACGCCATCCTTAATAGACAATCGGATATCAAGGTGGCACCATAGGTGGTGTTAGTTGGCGAAAGCCAGTTGAGCCTTTTGTATTCGTGCAGAGATTTCATCGGCCACTGAGCCATCAGAGTAGGGGTGATCCTACTTCCCAGGTAAGTGAAGTGGTCGACACACTCAACCACTACATTCTCTATTGTTAGCCGTGGTGGGGCACCGTTGAAGAACAATCCTGGATCAACAGTTTGCGTTTGGGTGGTGAGAAACACCTCCCAAACATTCTGGAATTGCCATTCAAGGTGTTTAGAAGACTCTGCATCTTGTGAGCGTCTTTACCTTACAGGATTATGTCATCTGCATATTCTAGGTCTAGGCCTAGTGAAGAACACTCTGGCGTTCAAAACAGGGGTTGTTGGGTGAGAGTCACTACCAGAAACGAAAATGTGTGGGTACATTCAGCTGAATCGAACAGAAAAATCATTCGAGATTTCACTCTTAGTTAATAGCAAACAAATAAACTGTTAGAGTAACTGTTTTACTAATAAGCCTTAAGTAACCACTTCTGTTATGCATACGTATGCGAGCAGCAGTGTAAGTGTACGTACAAAATGCATACATGTTTACCGCCCGGTTATTCTTCTATTATGGTTCATGCTGTATATCACCAGTGTAGTGTTAGCAAAGCGTCAGTCGAAAAAGATTCATGATCACGTTTTTACGGACTACTTTAAAATGTTTTCAAGTACACTTATTATCTCGTATTTAATGTAGATAACCGTAATAAAAGGAAACGGGAATCATTAACAAACATAAAGATATAGCTACTAATCTTGTCTTTTGCCAGTTAAAGGTCGTTTTCAATTCACTTAGCGAATATGAATTTATCATGAAGGCATGCACTGAATTATAAAAACTGGTATGCAGACCTTTAGTGTTATCACAAGTGTGTAGTCTCATCTGAACGTCCAATATTTCATGACAAGAGAAGACTGATAACTGCTGCTAAGGACTGAACTTTCTACCCGTAGAACTACTCATCGCAACTTATTGAACAGTTCAAATAATTCCTTAACTGTGCGTTACACAAACTATAATATCTCTTAGTCTAATAGGCGGCCTGCTAGAACCTTGGGTTACCAAGTTTATCCATGGAACATTTTCCACCAAATTCTTTCTTTTCAATTTGTTTTAATCATTTAAATATGTGAGAAGACAGAAGTGATGAAGATACCGCACCACCACCATCAACAACAACAACAACAACTCCAATCACCGTCAACGGGAGAAACTTAAAGGAAGTAACCTCCTTCACTTATCTAGGAAGCACTGTTTCAACTACAGGCGGGACGGACGAAGACGTCAAAGTGAGAATCGGAAAAGCAAGACAGACGTTCATTAGCCTGAAACCAGTGTGGAGATCTTCTGCACTCAGCATGCGGAACAAGATACGGATTTTCAACACCAACGTCAAGTCAGTGCTCTTGTATGGTTCAGAGACTTGGCGCGTCACGAAAGGCATTTCCAATAAACTACAGACATTCATCAACAACTGCTTACGCTCGCTACTGAAGACCAGATGGCCAGAAAGAATAAGCAACAAGGAACTCTGGGAACGAACCAACGAAGCAAGAACCTATCACGCAACAAATATGCAGGAAGAAGTGGAGATGGATTGGCCATGCACTGAGAAGGCCGACTGAGGACATCACGCATCAGGCCAGTTGCTCGAGTGGAATCCCCACGTGAAGCGACGAGTTGGACGTCGGTGCCGAGGGTGACATGGAGGAGGTCGTGCGAGGAGGAAATGAGAGCTTGTGGGCTGTCGTGGGACCAGGTTCAAAAGATCTCAGAGAACAGAGGTCACTGGAGGTGTGCTACTGAAGCCCTGTGTTCCACTAGGAACCCAAGGGACTAATAATAATAATAATATAATAATAATTTAAATATGTCCTTCAAATGTATCATGTACTGTTGCATATTTTTATACTGTTTCCAACTCTCCGTTTCTCGAGTCTGTCACAAAGCAGAGAAAATCTTACGTGATATGGAAGTGGACTTTTCAGTGCGCAAAAGTGCATCATATTTCTATCCGTCAGATGCTTAGCTTGAATTGTGGATTTTTGTACCGTCTGAATGAACCACCACTACCAAAATTACGCTTACATTTCTGTTGATTCTTCATTATGGACAGGATGCCCATCCAGAACCAGCTGACTATTTCAGATTATTACCTTGAATACTGCTATTATTAACATCATTCGGATGTAATAACCGCTTCATCTGAATGTACTGGTCTGGGAGTGAAAAATTACATGCTGAGGATTCCATACTGTCATAAATATTGTTTGGAATACAGTGATTATTATTATTACAACAGCGGGCTGGAGCAATACGATTCGACATCGGCTAAAAAAGGTAGACATCAGTATATATATATACTTGGTACTGTTTCAGTGGGTGATAACTAACAGATCACTATAGAGTTGTACTTTACTGAAATTACGGGATCTTACTCTCATATTAAGGTTCGGCAGTTGGTAAGCCACTGTAATGAATAAAGTCAGTTGGATGATGACAATTTAGAGAAACAAGCTTTTCTCTACTATAAACGACTCTTCTCTATGATATCCATATCAGTACTTATTATACGTATATTCTTGATTAAATGTGTCCATTTATTCATTTTTTTAAATCATTATCACTAATATTTAAGTTCATGGTGCAATCACATTTTCATTTTATTTATGATCATAGAAACAACTTGGGAATTATGGGTTCAATTTTCTTCATCATGTAATCAAAATGAGGTAAGCATTAGTTAGGTTATTATGCATTCCCTGACACACTATTCTCAATGTATCAGATATTTTTTAAAGTTTTACCTTGAATTGAATAGTTCACTATGCTAAGCATTTGTGAATTAAAGCTTCTTTTTTTGGTTGTTATTGTTTTTGGAAAATGCGTATTTAAATATACTTTTTAGTAAATGATCATAATTTTGTTCTACTATCAATTCAATTTCATTTAGAATCCCACTATGTTATGGAGTTTGATCTCAAATAACAGTAGTAAGGATGTAAAATCAGGTACTATCTATCCTATCAAATCATTTCATACAGAAGATATTCAGGTAATCCAATAGTTCTGCTGTCTTATGTATTTCATTCAATCTGTTTCTTCTTATTTTAGATGCAAGTACTTCTTCTTCAACACTAAAATGAGATCATTTTTCATGTTATTCAGTAAACAAAATTATAAAATAATAATAATGATAATAATAATACAGTTCTTTTTGAAAACATTTGTTTCCCGATACAAATTTAAAACAAGCAACAAACGTAATTAAAGCAGGATTTATTGAATTCGTAAATTTCAGTAGGAATCGTCAGTTGTTTTACTCAACATATATGATTTTATATACAATAAAGGAATACATCCACATATAATATAGACTGAGACATTGACTAAGGCATACCAACAAGGAGTGAATCATTTAATTATGTCAAACAAATACATAGGTGGTACGGAAAGGTGTCTGTCTACTAGTATGATTAAGCATTTACCTAAATATTTGAGGCAAGTAGAATCAAAAATCCCGTGGAATTCGATTACGAAATACCTAATAGATTATCGACATGATGTTGACACCAATAAGGTCTTCTCAGTTGTCAGCAGACAGCGGAATAAAAAAATGGTTGTCATCGTGGAAGCATCTACGTTTAGAGTTCATAAACTGAGCCTATATGTATGGTAGTCACCCTGAATCTACCATGGTGGAAGTGTTGAAGTACTTTGAAATTAGTTATTTATATTTATAAATGTCCTGATTTTTCCACTCTATTTCTTCCAATATTTCTCATATTTACCTCTTCACTAACATTCTGCTGTGCTAACATGTCTTCTTGAACTTCTCCACTTACTAGTTAAATGACTTGTCTCCATGGTAATTATCACTGTTATCTTCAGTCTATTACCCAACCCTCCTTTAGTTTTGCACTGTTACCAAGCTTCTTAATTGATGTTCATTCACCTTGTTTCAAAATGACGTAATAAAAGAGAATATTTGTAGCTCAAGTGGATGGTCTTGGTTGTGGTTGTATTGTGTTCTCTGAGCTGGATTATTCAGTCGTCAAGCTTTCATCGTCTTTCTAGACGACATCATCCGCATCACTTACTTCAGTATGAAGTGACCTGTCAATATCTCTCCTTGATTGATTTAGTGCTTGCCTTGTCTAAGATTCTAGGTTCTATAACTCCTCGACACCTGAATGGAGCTCGGGAACAACAAGCCCGAGAAAACCAAGCAGGCTTTAGACCTGGCCGCAGATGTACCGACCAAGTATTCACACTGCACCAGGTCTTGGAACACAGACACGTTTACCGGCGCCCGACAACAGCTGTATTTCTTCACCTAATGGCGCCATTTGACTCCGTTGATCGAGAAGTCTTATGGTAATGTCCCTTACTGAAAGGCGTGCCAAGTAAGTACATCACCTTATTGAAGGCTCTCCACTCGAACACTTGTGGGCTTGTTAAAACCTATAGTGAAATGTCTAGGCAGCTATGCTCATCGAGTGGTGTCCGTCAAGACTGTCCACTCTCTCCATCCTTATTCAATTTTATCATAGATATTCTTATGGAGGTCTCCCTCGCGTCACCAGATCACAAAGAGGTTGACGTAATCGCAGGAGAATTTTCGTTTCAAAAGAGATGGAAGACTAACGTCTACTCCCCATTCAGGTTCAGGCTTGATGCTGGGTAACTAAAGTGTTGCTGTAGGCCAGTTAAGCTGTCCTTCAAAGTAATACTCTCAAAGTTCTAGCTTTCTGTCCCAAGAGGTTATCAGCGTGGTTTCACTAACAATCGTCTTCTTCTCGCTGGTTTCCTTGATTTTTATTATTATTATTATTATTATTATTATTATTATTATTATTATTATTATTAGTCCCTTGGGTTCCTAGTGGAACATAGGGCTTCAGTAGCACGCCTCCAGTGACCTCTGTTCTCTGAGATCTTTTGAACCTGGTTCCACGACAGCCCACAGCCTCTCATTGGTTTCCTTGATGAGCCTAAATAATTGTTGGGTATTACCTAATGTTGATGTCTTCATCTCTATCGCTTTCGTCACCCACCATCACCCTCTGTCATTGGGAAGACTGTTAATTATTTTACGTTTGAGTTGCTTTCGCTCTTCATCGTAGTCAGAAGCAGCTGGAATGGGTGAGTCTTCTCTCATCAGTCAGCTGGGATGAAGTTGCGGATATCCAGTGAAGTTTGTTAGTCTTTTGATGTAGGTTACCAATTGTCTACTGCTGTCTCTACAGTAGACTGAATATCACGCCAGATTTCTTCAGGATCAACATCGCTGTCAGACAAATACCTAGCTATCTCCTCTCTAAATGCTCATTTTATGTTCTCATCTTGCATACGCGTACGCATAGGTTGCACTGAAAGGTGCAGACATGCATGTGCCTGTACTAATTCATCATTTTAAAGTCAAAACCAGTAAGTACTCCAGAAAGAGCGGTAATCCCCACGTATCCTCTCTAAAGATAGCATATAGCAGTATGATCTACATGTTTCCATCGTTGGTTTGAAGTCAGCGAACAACGTATGCGATATCGTCTCTCCTTATGTTTAAAGTTAGTGATGGCCAGGAACAAGGGGTTGCCAAAACAAAATTTCAACTGACGATCACCGTTGTCAGTCGGTTGGCATGAGATTCAGTAAGTTCCCCCAAGATGCCTATCCGAATGACTATGCTTCCCTACTTCAGAGTTAAAATCACGTACCTCTATGACTATCTGAATGTTTTGCTTTTTACAGCGGAATACACCCATTTGATCATAGGAAAAGACAAGACGTGTTTGCAGCAGAGGAAAAATCTTATTTTCGACAAAGTCATTTACTAAGCTGTACATTCGTGAATATATGTTCCAGTGGGCAGAGCGTTACAGAATTATTTTCGGTTAGAGGGGAAAATATATTGAATAACTAAAGGAAGTTAATTAATACACATTTGGGTTTAGTGTGGGAAAATAGACAAGGGATTATAAAATTAAATGTAATTATGCAATACAGGATGAATGTATGGCGGAGTAGGAAAATGAACAAGGGATAAAGGAAGTACATGTATAGTTACCTAATACAAGGTCAATCTATGACAATCAGTGATGGCTATGGTAAAGATAATGGTTGGACGCACAACTCTGCTTTGAACTTCTGAATGGCTAATGCTTCAGCTATACCCAAATGCCTTGATCTTACTCCCTTCAAGTGGTTTGATCGAACCCTGTAGAAGATTCTGAATGAGCTTTCAAAAGGAGCTAAATAGCCTGAGTGCACGAGGTGTTCTGTTATTGAAATGAAGACATTTCTGTTCTCCCTTTGCCAGCCAGTCTGAGTAATGTTCGTGGGCACGTTTTACAAGCGGATGCATGATAGGGCCGAAGTACTCACCTCCACAAAAGCAAGTAAACTTTCACATACACTTTGATTTGGCCTAATGTGTCAGCCTGTCTTTCACACATTGACCGAAACGTTTCTTGCAGGAGAAGATAATCTGAAGGTTGGCGGCAAAGCATGTTCTGCTTAAGGATTTTGACAGTCGTTTCCTGAGGATCTCTGCGGCAGTATCATTTTGAATTCAAGGTTCAACGAAAGAATCTTTTTTGGCACCAAATGTTTTCATTTAGTTGTGTTCTCTGGCTTTATGTTCTTTTCTACGAATCTGAGCAGGAAGCAGTTTTCCGCTAGAGTTCGTCTAATTATTTGCAGTTCTCTGTCAACAGTATCCTCAGTACATATTTTCCTGATCCTCGAGGAATGTGAACGAAGATTTGTTTTCCTGCATTAAGAAAATGGAAGGTTGAGTTTGATTCTGATTCAAGAGTGAATTTGGTTGAAGGGTGGGTGTTGTTGAAGGTATGAAGCAAGTTTGCAAGATTCATATTTTCATCAGACTATAAACGAATCATCCATGTACCTTTTGTAGACATGAAGTTCATTGATTGTTGATGATAAGTTGGTATTTCCAGGCTCACCAAGAAGCAGTCAGCCAGGAAAGGTCCTAGTGGAGAACCCATTGCCACACCATCTATCTGTCTGTAGATCTCATTATTAAATCTGAAGTGTACATTAAAGGTACATCAAAGGAGAAGCTCTTGTAGCTAGTGAATTGGGATACCAACATCTGTGTTACGACACTGAATGAATTCACATAGGAGGTAGATGATTTCTGTCAGAGAGATATTTGTCAAGAGAGAAGTGAAATCATTCTTTATCTGTCAAACGACATTCTTTATCAAATCAACAAAATCATATATGTCACGAAGACTGTGGTTTTGTAGAAAAATTGATGACTTATGATAGAGTTCGTCCTTTGCATCATCCGAAGTGCAGTTGGTGGGTGCGTAGACAAAGATCACGAATAGACATTGCCTAGTTTCACCATCCTTCCTATTGTTTACAGATCCATGCAGCTGAATACCATCCAGTTGAGAATTACGTTTTCTTTTCCTCAGTTCAGTGCTATGCCTACACCAGCTAGTCCACAAGGACTAGTCACTGAATTTTGAAGACTCACTACTACAGTCAAGTGGGGTCAACTTAGTAACGACACACGGGTCCTTATACTTGTCTCTGAAACACAACATGCACCCGTCACTTGAGATTCTAGAGTTCCAACAAGAGATATCTCCTATCCTAGTTGGCGAAGAGTTCAGACGTTGAAAGCTCCAATACTATACGGATAGCGCCGTTTTAGGAGACTAGGAATGGTGCTTCGCTGACTTTAATTGTTGATAGTGGAAGGAAATTGAGACTTTGAGGAGGTTGTAGGAGGTTTAATATTGATATCATGATGTAAAGGGTAAGGAGACAGAGGTATGAAGGGTAAGTTATGTTTTGTTGCCTTATGTATACTACTGGAAGCGTGACGTTAGTTAACATTTTCCGGCTGCCCAAACCGTGTAAGGCTAGTCCTCCTCGAGGTACATGAAAATGAAGGGTTAGTGTGTGACCATAGTGCCTTACTGACATTTGCTTGGAGGCTGGTTAAACATGGCCTTTTTAGAAGTTTGAGACCTAAGTTTGTCAGTTTGTTAGCACAAAAACGTGGCTAAATTTAGTTTTTCTGTGTCTACTAATATTAAAAACCTAGATCAAAACTGGGCCATAGTTCTGTATGCAGATTTACACATAACCCAGCAGCAGAATGGTACAGAGTGACGTTCCTTAAAACCAAATTTGATGGGGGGAGAGAAGTTTCGTTCGTAAAAACAACACCGAATAGATGTAGCAGAAATTTTCGCTTATTATACTGCACACATTAAGAGATAACTAGGTTTAAATAAACTGTCTCGAGGTTATATTGATCTTGATGACTAGCAGAGGAATCCAGGACGCGCGTTTCGTTCTATTTGGGACTCGTCAGCTGGGTGTACCTGCACGCCGGTGACTCAGTGGATAAAGCGTTTGAATCGAAGGATGCTGGGTTCGGGTCTAAGTGGGGACATCACCACTCACTGGGGTGCAGGAACATCCAACTGACATGTCCCAAATAGGACGATACGAGCGTCCTGGATTCCTCTGCTAGTCACCAAGATCAATATAACATCATGAATATCCAGCAGTATTGAGGCATCCACATGGAAGCCCATCTGCCTACGAAGGCCTAGCGATTCGGCCTTGTATAGCAACGGGAAATCATAAGTATCACTACAAAAACTGTCTCAAAGTTGTGGAATTATTTTGATATGACTATGAACTATAAATTGTGTTCGGAACGTAATCTAACAAGATAACATTGTTTTAGTGTGTGATACATCTGATAAATCAACTAAAATAGAATCATATTTTACCACTTTTAACTTCTTTTCTTGAAAAGTCTCCTCTGTTACCAGCATTATCTTAATGCCATTTTGATTGAAGGTTACAACGCTGTTATCTTCATCATAAAACACTTAAGTGCCTTTTTAACTACTGACTAAAATATAAGTATTAAATCTCATCATTCTCTCATCTTGTCAGTAAAAACCGTAAGTGTTGTCAGTTTAGGCTATTGAAAATCTCACAATATTGATCGAAAAGAGACTTTATTGGTTGTCATTTTTCATTCCCCCCCCCCCGGCTGTGAAATCTGCTAAGAATAATAAATAGACAATACAATTTTCAATATATTTATTCTGAATTCAAAAACTTTAACATAAATTGAGTGAACAATCGATCGTATGTAAGGTTGTTATTCAAGGTTCATCTGAATCTTTACAAGGCACATGAATGATATGAGTTTGATTTCCAAGCCATGAAGCTCGAACACTGTAGTTAAAATCTTCGAAGCCAACACAAGCTGATCCATGTTCACCGTGACTTGTAAGTGCAACTAAAGCTCCATACCACTTTTCTTGCTATAAATATTTTAAGTAATTGAAAGAAATGCTACTCAGTTAGTTTATTTAAGTAATAATAGGTAACTATTGCAAATATTAAGTAAATCATATAACTTTATTTCTATCCAACTACTAGTAAAACGATGAACATCTGCTAGATTCGATATATGAAGATTACTGCCAATGAAGTATTAAAATACTTACATTATCATTGTATAACCCCTCGATGCGCCCTTTAGGTTCAATCTGTGCGCTTAGCATCAGTTAAGTTATATAATCTGAAGGGTATATTGTTTCTACTTGTACATTTGGGTCAGCTTTTGTTTACTCTAACTCGACGCTAGTAGGTTTATAGAGAAATATTATTCATGTTTCAGATAAGATGAAACGGAAGTGTTTGGTATATTTTATTCCTTTTTTCTTTACTTATTCAACTAAGTGTTAGCTGTTTTTATAGGTTTCACACCTTTTCTAGTTGCTTATAAACGATACTATGCTCACATAAACGCGCAGATGATTATAAAATTAGTTGCATTCGTGAATTTCCAGTGTACTCTGCTTCAACATAAATACTTCTTGGTTGAGCTATCATATAACGTTTTATAAAGTTGTTTTATCAAGCCTAGAATTGATACATGAAGCTTGTGGGCAGTCGCGGTGCCAGGTCCAAAAGACTACAGAGAACATAGTGGAATGGAGGCGTGCTACTGAACCTCTATGTTCCACTAAGAACCCAAGGGAGAAATAATAATAACCGTTAGGTCGTTAATAAGTTCAGAATTTAGATTCAGCACTAAGTAATCTGCTGATTCAAGTATCCACTTCATCAGGTCTTCAGTTCGGTAACTATAATCTTTATATGCACATAACCACATCTAACCGTTGAATATGTTACCCTCTTTGGAAGTGTTAAATTACATAAGTTAGTTTTTTTTCCTCTTGTTGTTAGTTGCCTTGACAACAAGCAAATAAGTGACGCCAAATCTTTTAGCTCTAGAACAAAATTTAAACCTAGATTGATTGGTTCTGAACTATTTTTGGTGTTTTGAGTGACTTTGAAGTGTGAAGTTCAACGGTCGTAATGACTCTCAGTACACTATAATCAGTTTTTATTGCTGTATCCTATTAACTGTACTCACTGTTTTACATGGAGTATACTACCCTTGAAATTCGGTTCATTTTGTGCTCAAGTCATTCTTCTGTTGGTGACTTGGAATAGTTCAGAATTCACTAGTTCTTTTAGCCAAGAATAGTACCTAATGAAAACAATTTTTAACAACCATTATACTTGCTCATATTTTTTTGTTAGATTCACTTTTTTCCTAATCAATAACTAGTTACTTGTGCAAATGAAGAATATTCTGAATTCTTTCGATAATTTTCTGTTTTTATTTTAGAAGAGGTAAGTTGAACCATAAAGCACCATTGCTCAAAACAATAAGTCAATGTACCGTAGGAACAGTGTTTTGTAATACTTTAACTCAACTTTCAGATGGGAGGGACGATTATATAATCCATGTTATATTGTTAAAACACGATCAGCATAACGCTTAATACCCATGTTTTGAACTTGACAACACTTATCAAAAAGATATACTTAAGGGCTCAATGACTTCTTGCGCTAACTTATAATCGAACAAGCATTAGTTAGTGCAGTGGTCCGAAATATTGCTACTAATCTAATCAGATGGTTACTAACTCCAATAAATTCCAGATCAATTGCAAAAACTAGCCAATGGATAGTATTTTATATGTTTCTGCTGGTTAAATACACTTTTGCGAAATGTCTACAAAATAAGCCATGCAGTAAAAGGTAATTAATATTTAGTCGTGGTTGAAGTTTATTTTATTCTTAAAAAATTAGATTTTACCATGTTATCCAAGAGTTTTATAGGCTGTAACTATAATTACTAAATTTTTATTAAAAAGAGAAACGGTTCACTTACTGACTTTACACTTTCTAAGGCTCTTTTACAAGCTTCAGTTGGACCGACACCTTGACGAAGATAATTCACAACTTGAAAACTTAAAAGATAACGCATTAAAAGATCACCATCACCAGTTGCAACAGCACCTCCAATCTACATTACATTGAATTAAATTATTAAGTTATATAGCGAAAAATAATGCGTGTATAGTTTCTTATATTAAATTCAAATTAGTGGAAACATCAGAAAGTAAGGTTGTTTAATGATAAATAAATAATTAAGGCAGAAATATTTACTGTTATGACAGCTACTGAAATTCACTCTAGAACTAATACCAGATTCAGGTGATGTGAACTAATTCGGCTATGTAGGCTTACTGGATTCCAAACGAGCTAATCTGCCGTCTGGTGGTTAGATCACTCTGATCTGACTACTTGAGTACTTTTTAACTACTCAAGTTGCTCAGCAGTAGTATCTTTCGCAATTTCACGCATCTATACATTGCATTTCATTCATGTTTAGCCCTAACATGCTTTCTTCTCATAACTTCCTACGACTTCTGATTACATTTTTTCCCTTATTCCCCTAACTTCCCCCTTGTTTACCTTGCTGTGGTGATATGATGTGTGCACCAAATGGAAGCATTATGGAGTAGTAATGCTACATCCCATGTTGGTCATTTACTGACCAGTTGAATTCTAGTTCTGCATATATATCTGGTTGTACACTAGGCGACGATAAGGTGTCCGAAGTATTGTCTACCTGTGTACTATACCAAGGTCAGTCACCCTATATTATATTCCTGTTTAGTGGTAAGTAAATAATTAAGGCAGAAATATTTACTATTATGACAGCTACTGAAATTCACTCTAGAGCCAATACCAGTCAATGAATTCTTTTTTAAATATCTGTTGTTCCCTGGCATTGTCTACAAAATACGTGTGTACTTTTCTGATTTCCTTTTTGAAATTGACAATAAACTGTATAGAATGTATCTAATTCATCCAGTATTACAAACTTCCTCAACATGAGCGTGATCACTTAAATGTAGTATGATATTTTTCAAACGAGTGACTAGTATTTGTGTGTTCACGATACTTTTACTGTGTGTAATGATGTCAGTCATGTAGACGTTCCACTAAAAACTTCCAATGAGGTCTAAGTAATATGAATTCACAATGTATCACGAAACTTTTATTACTATCCATTTTCTGCGATCGGAAAAGTTTGAGACTTATGAAATGATGGAACATTCCAACGATTTGTTTATCACAGAGGCCGAAAGTAAACAATTCCTTAGCTTTCGTAAGTTTTTCGTAATAATATGTAAGGTGAGATTGATTGAAACGACAAACTGTGGTGTTCGGAAACTCCCCCTTAAAGATATTGAAAAAAGAGTTAACATTCGTTGGACATACCTTCAAGTAAGTGATTATCTTCTAACCCACAACTGGGAGTGTGAGAGAGGAATCGACTCTGTAGTTGCAGAAAATCACCATGACAGTAAACTAGCATTTATCTGACTTACAAGGGTGGTCAAGTTACAATTAAAATTACTCAACAACTAAAAGCTGCTGCGAAAACAGTCTACTACAGTTCTAGTATCGTATTGTAAGACAGTTTTCAATTTAGCGGACTAAAATGAACTAGTAAATTGCCTTTTGTCAACTTGGTTTACATTAATCGATTTCCATGTACTTATCGAACCGGACATATTTGGAGGAAAACAAGGTAATTTTCCAACCTCGCCTGGTTAACTAGTACACTAGTTACTAGCCGGTCCTAAGCCCGGGTAAAGAGGGAAGGTTGGGCATAGGGCTAGCAACCCTACCCCGTAAAACAAATCTAACCTCTAAAGAAACTTCAAAGCACAAACAAAATATAAAAAATGAAAACAAACTTATTCCTCGCTAGGATTGGAGAGGCGAAATGATGCCAGTTGGTGAAAGCCTTCGGGAAGCCAACTGGTCGATGTGTCTTCTCTCTCTCGATAAAAGCGAAAGTAAACGTGGGGACATGGAATGTCCGCACCATGTTTGAACCCAGCAAGGCAGCCCAGATTGAAAACGAGATGAGAAGGTATCACATTGAAGTGCTTGGAATTTGCGAAAGCAGATGGAATGGGAGTGGACTCTCCAAACTGTCAACTGGAGAATCAATAATCTACTCCGGTCACCCAGATGATAACCACGAGCACCCTCAGGGAGTGGCTATCATGATGTCCCCAAGAACATCGAAGGCTCTCTCTCATGCAGTGGGAAGCAATCTCCTCCAGGATCATGACAGCAAGATTCAACTCAAAAGGAAGGAAAGCCACAATCATACAATGCTACACTATGCACCTACAAATAATGCAGAGCAAGAGAAGAAGGAGGAATTCTACAGACAACTTCAATCAACACTGGACAAGACCTCAGTTGACGATATCAAAATTCTAATGGGCGACATGAATGCCAAACTGGGAGGGGACAACACAGGAAGAGAACTAACCATGGGTCGAGAAGCGCTCAGTGAGGTGATGAACGAGAATGGAGAATTGTTTGCAGAATTCTGTGCATTCAACGATTTGGTGGTTGGAGGCAGTGTGTTCAGGCACAAAGATATCCACAAAGCGACATGGATTTCACCAGACACCAGATGGACATACTAAAAATCAAATCGACTTTATCTCAATCTGGAGAAAATGGAGACGCAGTCTACTTGATACAAGGGCAAGAAGAGGAGCAGATGTAGGTTCAGACCACTATCTAGTGCAAGGAACCTTCCAAATCAAGTTGAAAGCCTTCAAGGAAGCTGGTGATAGACCTCAATTCAAGTACAACACTCGGAAACTGAAGGATGAAACTACAAAGGAGATCTTCACGGCAGCCTTCAAGACAAAATGGGAGATATAGAGGAACATCCCTGAAGAAACCTGTGTGGAAGAACACTGGAAGTCTTTGAAAGCTATGTGGAAAGAAACCTGCACAACCGTATTAGGAAGGAAGAAGAAAGAAGACAAGGAATAGATCTCGACGGATACGTGGAAGCTGATAGAGGAGAGGAGGATGGTGAAGCAGAAGATAAACCAGTGCATGGATGCTCAACGACAAGAGGAACTGAGCACAATGTATAAAACACTGAACAAAGAAAGGAGAGTGCGTGGAAAGACAAAAGACACTTCTACGAAACACTGGCAAATGAAGCAGAACAGGCTGCAGGTAAGAGAGACCTGACGACATTGTATCAAATAACCAGGTTGCTATCAGGGAATAGACCAACACAGATGAAACCAATAAAAGATGAAGAAGGAAATTTAATTACGAAAGAAGAGAAACAGAGGAAACGATGGGCCGACCACTTCAAGAAGCTCTTGAATCGACCACTACCACCTGCACTTCGTCCAGAAATACCACCTGCAGCCCGGCCACAGAACTACAAGTGAACATAAATCCTCCGACAGAAATGGAAGTCCTGAAAGCCATAAAGCTACTGAAATGTGGGAAAGCAGCAGGACCAGATGGGATCCCGCCAGAAGCACTGAGAACAGACGCAGAGACAACAGCGGACATGCTCATACCACACCACTATTGCAGGAGGTGTGGAAGGAAGAGAAGGTACCTGACGATTGGAAGAAGTGTTACCCTGTCAAACTGCCGAAGAAAGGAGACCTCAGTGCTTGCAAGAACTGGCGCGGAATCACTCTCCTGTCCACCCAAAGCAAGCAAAATATTAAGCCGCATTATTCTGGAGAGGCTTAAGGATGCACTGGATTCAAAACTACGACGGGAACAGGCAGGCTTCAGGAAGTACAAATCATGCACGGACCAAATTGCAACGCTTCTCATCATCATAGAACAGAGCATAGAATGGCAATCAGCTCTCTACCTCAACTTCATCGACTTTGAGAAGGCCTTTGACAGCGTCGACCGAGAGGTAATTTGGAAACTGCTTCACTACTACGGAGTACCGCAAACCTTTATCAGCCTCATTCAACAACTATATGAAGATGCCACATGCCAGCCAAGTAATTCACAATGGGAAGCTCAGTGATGATGCCTTGGAAGTGAAGATAGGAGTGAAATAAGGTTGCCTACTATCCCCCATGATATTCCTTATTGTGGTCGACTGGATCATGCAGCAAACAGTGGGGAGCTGTGAAAAGAGGGGGATACGCTGGCTGGACTGCGGAAAAGAACCTAGAAGACTTGGATTTCGCCGATGACTTGTGCCTGATGTCACATAAACTTGAAGATCTGCAGGCGAAAACTAACAAGTTGACAGGAGAAGCGAGGCAGCGAAGACGGGACTTCAGGTGTATATAGAGAAGAGAGAAGTGATGAAGATACCGCACCACCACCATCATCAACAACAATAAACTCCAGTCACCATCAACGGGAGAAACTTAAATGAAGTAACCTCCTTCACTTATCTAGGAAGCACTGTTTCAACTACAGGCGGGACAGACGAGGATGTCAAAGTCAGAATCGGAAAAGCAAGACAGGTGTTCATTAGCCTGAAACCAATGTGGAGATCTTCTGCACTCAGCATGTGGAACAACATCTGGATTTTCAACACCAATCTCAAGTCAGTGCTTCTGTTTGATGGTTGAGAGACTTGGCGCGTTGCGAAAGGGATTTCCAATAAACTACAGTCATTCATCAACAACTGCCTACTCTGGCTCGTTACTGAAGATCAGATGGCCAGAAAGAATAAGCAACAAGGAGCTCTGGGAACGAATCAACCAAGAACCTATCACGCAACAAATATGCAGGAGGAAATGGAGATGGATTGGACCAGGCATACACTGAGTAGGCCTACTGGGGACATCACGCGTCAGGCCAGTTGCTCGAGTGGTATCCCCATGGGAAGCGACGAGTTGGACGTCTGAGGAGAGGGTGACATGGAGGAGATCGTGCGAGGAGGAAATGAAAGCTTCTGGGCTGTCATGGAACCAGGTTCAAAAGATCTCAGAGAACAGAGCTCACTGGAGACGTGCTACTGAAGCCCTATGTTCCACTAGGAACCCAAGGGACTAATAATAATAATAATAATAATAATAAGGTAATTTTCCACTTATCTTCTGGAATATACTTCATAAAGGTTAAGTAATTTTACATTAGCAGCTTGACTACTTACTGGAAAGTATTAACATCAAAAGTGCTTCCGAAGTAATCATTGGGTGATAATAATTGACTTTTACTTCGATTAGCAGAGCTCACTTCACCTATAAAAGTTGGAAGTTGATCTTTGCATTCAAAGGACAGTCATTTTCCTGTTTTCATTTTGATAACGAAATTTATGGTTTCCTTTTTATCTATGTTGAAGATGGTAACAGTTTGTTCAAATTAGTTTAGGTTAACCTTGTTTTTATGTTTATATTAAGTCATAACCACGTCGTGTATTCGAATGCTATCTTCATGATAATTTTAAAACTATTACCTGCACCATACAGAATACTAACGATGGGGTTCGGGATGAGCTCATAGTCCTGTTTGGGACTCGTCAGCTGGACGTACCTGCCTCCAAGTGGGCGATGTTGTTCCACCTATGACTCAAACTTGGGATTGATTGCTTGAAACGCCAGAACGTTATCCACTACACCACCAAGTCACGATAGCCACTTCTTGTGCAATCAGTATAGGTCTAATGTGGTTGCCTGTCGTTGAGTGGATTCCATTGCTAACCACTAACCATCAATAATATACAACTCAGACACAGACAATACTAAGGCATCCGCACATGAGTGCATATGCCAATAGAGAGCGATCAATTCGGTCCACTCACCGAAGGGGCAATGCAAGCGACAACATTCATACTGAATACTGATATGATGTTCTAGGTTTCATTATTGTTTGATAACCTGTCGATTTTGTAGTTTTAAAGTGTGTCTATCATCGTCAATATTAGCTTATGTGTTGCAGAGAAGAAGGCAGTAGAATATATTGAACTAATCCTATTTGGTGAGATTCAGTGTTCGTTATCTCATTTTAGGTGTTAAACTACTTTCGGACTTTAGGTCTGAGAGTAACCATAAGTAGCACAACACTGAGTTTCACCAAGACGACTCCGTAAATTATTGATCCATTGAACATATACTAAATAAGTGGATAAAACCCTTTAACGTTTTAGTTGTGTCGTTGTATAAAGCCTTGGTAAGTTTGGTTCTTTTGAGCTTCTCAATACTGAATATTGGATTTCACAAAGAATTATAGTACAGTATTCATTCATTATATCTTCTGCAGTAAAAGTAACTCCTGAAAACATTTCAAACATGATGATGCATGACTAAAATTCATTTATTGGGGTTTAATGATGCTTTCTCAGTTAAAGTGGTATCGTATGAATGATAAACAAACTTTTGTACAAAAAAGTAAGTTGCTTAAAAAAGTAAACTGATTTGTACGTATTGTTCACAGTTACAAACTTAGTGTTTAACTCCCTGACGTTGGAATCAGTGATTTTTATTTCCGACAATCGATTGGGACAAGCATACCTGTCATAATACATGTATATTTGACAAATATACTTGGGGTAGGATGAAGTATTTGTCTTGGAGTCCATATTCTGTTGTTGACTAAAATTATATCCTTGTTGCATGATCACCCGAAATTCCAGTTAACTATACAAGAAAGTCAGTCTAAAATAAAACTTTTAAACAAGTTAGTACTGACAAAAACTGAGTTATTCAGGATCTTAAGTTAAATGTTCGGTTTTAATTGAGTTGAATTGTATAAGATTATGAAAGTTATACAATAACAAGCTAATCAAGTAGATATCCAACTAAATTGATTACTTTCATACATTATTTACAACGTAACCACCAGCTCCAGGAATTGGTGAATCTCCAACTCGTCCAGGGATTTTATATGTTGATCCACTTGTTGACGTACCAACAGCCATTGATCCGTATGCATCCAGTGCAATTACACCAATTGTATCATGGTTGTGGATATCTAATTTGACAGTGTTTCGGCCTTGGCTCTTGAATGAATTGGTATCTTAATGATAAGGAAAACGTATATTCAAGAGAAGGTTAGACGAAGTGGAACATAAGAAATTGTAGTTATTTAATTAATAGTAGATAGCGAATAGTCTATCTGCTGTCAAATGTTTCCATTATATTTCTATATCCCCATGTTTTATTGTACTAACGAAGATCTCAAACTTCGTAAATTGTATCAAATTGATTTTAGTCGTCAAGCCGTACATTTCATTTTTGTAAAAAACTTTATTTATTGATTTATCAGATTTACCACATAGTGAGGGAAAAGCATTGTTTTCTGGATTACGTTTCGGACATAATTTATTATCCATAGTCATATCAAGTAAGAGAACTAAACAACTCTGAGATATCCTTCACTATATAGTCCTAACTTCTTCACCCCTTTGTGATGTGGGTAGTAAGATTTTCCATATATCCGGAACAGGTGCTGAGTCATTCCTGTTGGATGTACTAGGTGTTGATTCGCTAAACGCAGATTTAGTTATCAATCTTTCCTTCTGCCCCACTATCGCAGTAGACATATTTATGGATAGTTGGGAATGGATGACTGTTCATACATTTAATCCTGCTGCAAAAGTACGGTTTCGATATACAGATAACATGTTTACAGTATTGAAATAGGAGCACAAATAATTTCTTCATACATATAGATTCAGTAGTCAACGCAATCTAATTCACCTATGAATTAGAAAATAGTGAAGGGGAATTAGCAATGTTGGATTGCAGAATAAAACGGAAACAAGATGGAAGTTTAGACACTAGTGTCTACAGAAAACCTTAACATTCAAATCGTTACTTAGACTTCAAAATCATCTCACCCTATTTTAGTTACAGTTGGTTTGGCAAAGTGTCTAAGTAACAGTGCTAAAAAACTAGTAAAACAGAAGATCTAAGACAAGAAACCAGATCCACTAAAGACTCCTTAATCATCAACAATTACCCTCCCAAATTAATTGATAAGCACCCTAGGAATTGTAAGAAAAATATCAGTAACACAGTTATCAATAGTAGTAATAATGGCAATAATAATAGTAGTATTAATAGTGGTGATAATAATGGTAATAATAGTAGTGGCAATACTATGAAGAGAGAACTCTAAACCTCTACAGTATTACCATACAAAGAAGGCACCTCAGAAACACTACATAGGGTTCTCAGTTAGGCCGGGTGGGATAGCAGTGACATTTAAACCGACACACTCACTTCAAAATAAGCATTGTAGGTTAAAAGATGCTATTGATCTAATTAAGCAGAATAATTTAGTTTGCCAAATCCGCTGAAAAGGTCGAGAGGTCAAACATATAGGTCAAAGTAATCGACCGGTGTCAATTAGACTGTCGGAACACAAAAACCTAGCTAAGTCGAAATTCGTAGATCTTAGTAGAGTAAGGAATTTAGGAAAAAGCTCAGCCATAGCTATGCATCCAATAATACACCACCCCAAAATAGGATGGGACAGGGTGAAAATCCTTAGTACTAACATAACAGGGTGGAGGGAGAGATTGATAACTAAATCTGCGTGTAGCGAATCAACACCTAGTACATCCAACAGGAATGACTCAGCACCTGTTCCGGATATATGGAAAATCTTACTACCCACATCACAAAGGGGTGAAGAAGTTAGGACTATATAATGAAGGATATCTCAGAGTTGTTTAGTTCTCTTACTTGATATGACTATGGATAATAAATTATGTCCGAAACGTAATCCAGAAAACAATACTGTTCCCTCACTACGTGATAAATCTAATAAGTCAATTTTTAAAAATAGAATTACATTCTACTCCAGTGCACAAGTTTTACTCTCATAGTAATGTAGTAAAATTGAGGTATATTTGTTGCTGACTCGATTCTGTTTTCCAAAACATCAATTAATATTGTCTGCATAATTAGAACAGTGTAAAAAGTTAGTTTAGAATTGTAATAATTTATGCATATTAAGACCAATTTATGTTTTTCTAGAAATGTTAAACCAAAAAAAAAAAAAAAAAAGAATTAAAACTAAGAAGGGACACGCTCCAAGAAAAAAAAAAGGGAAGGGGTAATAAAAAAAATGAAAAAAAAAAGAAAAAAAACGAAAAAGAAAAAAGGAAAAAAAAAAAAAAAAAATAAAAAAACCAACCCAACCAAAAAGAACCGGGAAAACCCCAAAGAAATAAGATCACTACCATATTAAAGCCTTTCCGTAATTGGAATGTTCGCAACTTCCATTAAAATCCACCAAAATTAGGACCAGCTGAAGAGGAAAGTTTCCCCATTCTTTTGGGAAAGGGGGTGAAAAGGGGGGGGAAAACATGTTCTCAATAGAAAAATGAGAGGTGAAACCCCAAAAACCAGGAATAAAACCTTGATTAGGGGAAAGAAAAGTTCAACAGTGAAGTTTACAATTTGTTGTAAGGTTCAAATAACGTAGCAAAAAAGGGAAACAACAAAGGAAATGGAGATGGATTGGACCAGGCATACACTGAGTAGGCCTACTGGGGACATCACGCGTCAGGCCAGTTGCTCGAGTGGTATCCCCATGGGAAGCGACGAGTTGGACGTCTGAGGAGAGGGTGACATGGAGGAGATCGTGCGAGGAGGAAATGAAAGCTTCTGGGCTGTCATGGAACCAGGTTCAAAAGATCTCAGAGAACAGAGCTCACTGGAGACGTGCTACTGAAGCCCTATGTTCCACTAGGAACCCAAGGGACTAATAATAATAAATAATAATGATAATAGAAATGTTAAACTGGCCGATTTCCAAATGTATGAAGTTCTTTGTCGTCTCACTAGCTCACGGTATCTTTGGTACTGGAGAGGTATTTGGATACTTATTAAGAGTAAAATTCGCTTTACTACAGTTCACTCTTTTTAGTCTGTTTATTAGAAATATCACACAGTGAAACAGTAGCATTTACTGGATAACGTTTAGGATATAATTTATTGTCCATATTCATATCAGGTAACTCCACAACTTCGAGACAGTCTTTATATATTCCTAGTTTTCTCTCCTTCTCTGTGATGACAAGGGTAGTAGAATTTTCCATATATCTGGGACAGGCGCACAATCATTTCGATTGCATGTGTTTGGTGTTGATTCGATAAACAAAGATTCGGTTATCAATCTAGCTAAATCAAGATCAGTAGGTCCTAATAAGATAAGAAATCTAGAGAAAAACTCGGCTATAGCTCTGCATGCGATGACACACAATCACACAGTAGGGTGGGATAGGGTGACAGTGTTGAAAACTAACTTAGTTGGGTGGAGGATGATTGTGCACCTGTCCCAGATATATGGAAAATTCTACTACCCTTGTCATCACAGGAAGGAGAGAAAACTAGGAATATATAAAGACTGTCTTGAAGTTGTGGAGTTACGTGAAATGAATATGGACAATGAATTATGTCCGAAACGTTATCCAGTAAATGCTACTGTTTCACTGTGTGATATTTCTAATAAACAGACTAAAATGGAATTACACTCGACCACAGTGCCCAAGTTTTACACTTATATTAAGTTCACTCTTTTATTCTCATATATGTGTGGAAATTTGTCACTTGAAATAATTAGCTTGCTAAGGCTACTTCTATCCAAATACTGTTTTCTTCCTAGTATATTCAGTCTTGGCTAACCTCTATGTGAACAGTTTGAGCATCAGACGTAGAGGAATACTTAATAGATACTGGTCGCTTGATAACATTGTGAAACTTCACTGAATAAATTGGTTGTAATCTGTTTATGCAGAAAGGAATGTCGAATGCAAGAAGATATACTAGGAAATAAAGCACGCCGTTTACTCTTTGTTAAACTGAACCACATAGAAAGCAAATGACCTCATAGCTAGAATCCATGAGTAAATTCAAATTGTTTATGGATATAACTTAAAATCGGTTAAAGTGATATCAGTACATTCACAACCTAACTTCCTCTCGTTCTTCAACCATTCATTGTTTCATTTCAATTCTTTTTCTCTCATCTTCATCCAGTTTCATTTTATCAGCCTTGCTAAAATTATCGTCACAAGTTTATTCTGCATCTTGTTAGTTGTCAATTACTGTGCTGAAATAGATCGATAGTCAACAGCGGCCAATTTTCATGTGATTGTTATCTCCATATTTACTTCTGCAAGCATTTTAAAGAAATTCGACAATATTACGTGAATACCTACTTAATTTGAAACATACATGTTGTCAGAGTTTCATATACAGTGTGTACACCATAAGTAATAACTTTCATGTACTAGTTTTCTTCATGAATCACTGTCTCTTTGAAAAGCAGTAAAGTTTTTTACAGACTTTAACCTCATGAAACTATTGGATGGCTTGTATGTAATATACCTTGCAATCTACTAGCTAGATTCATTGCATAATCTATCTCACATCAACTTTATATGTATATATAGCATCATTTGTCTGATAAGAGAATGATTATTGGCTATGCACTTTCGTTGTAACATTTACTTACCCGACTGCTTTGGACTGTATGGTCCACATGATTTTGTTGAATCTGGAATCCAAGCTGCTGGCTTACGAAAATTTGGTTGACAGTTATTCTGTTGCCATTTTAACCATAAATCATGTGATTTAGGAGTATCCAGTGAAACTGGTACATACCCTCGTGATTTTGCAAATTCTGCTGCAAGTGGTCCAACTAATAATGTATGTTTTGTACTGAATAAGACATCACGCGCAACTTGAGATGCTTGTCGAATTTCAGGCATTGATGCAACTGCTCCAACCTGGAATTTAAAAAAAGGTTATTTTCTTTATACAGTCTTATTAGTTTATGCAACCAAAGCCAAATAAACATGTAATTCCACTTTAGTCTGTTTATTAGAAATCGCACACAGTGAAGGAACAGTATCATTTACTGTTTAACGTTTCGGACACAATTCATCGTTGATATTCATGTCAGGTAACTCAACAACTTTGAGACATGGTTTATATATTCCTAATTTTCTCCTCTTCTTTGTGATGACAAGGGTAGTAGAATTTTCCATATATTCTAGGGCATGTGGAGAATCATTTCTATAACATGTATCTGGCGTTGATTCGATCGACAAAGATTCGGTTATCAGTCTCTTCCGCCACCCACCTAAGTTGGTTTTTAACGCTGTCGCTGTTTCCCACTCTACCATGTGATTGTGCATGGTTGCATGCAGAGCTACAGCCAAGCGTTTTTCTAAATTTCCTATCTTATTAGGATCTACTGATCTTTATTTAACTAAGATTTTGTGCTCTGTTATTCTAATCGAACCTTGTCGACTACTTTGACCTATGTATTTGACCTTGCAACAATTGCAAGGGACTCGGAAGACCAGATTATTTTGTTTAGTTGCATCGATAGGATCTTTTAACCTACAAAGCTTGTTTCTAAGCGAGTTTGTTGGTTCAAATGTCACTTTAATCCTAGCCTTATTGAGAATCCTTCGTAATGCTTCTGAGGTGCCTTTCTTGTATGATAACACAGCAGAGGCTTAGAGTTCTGTCTCCACCCTGTCGCCATTTTTGCTATTTATAGCAGAATTATTATTTATAACACCTGTGTTACTACCACTACTACTTACATTTTTCTTTCGATTTCTTATGAATATATTGATAAATTTAGGTGGATAACTATTGAGATTTAAGGTATTCTTGATGTCTAATTTCTTGTCTTAGATTTCCTGGCCTACTAGTAAGCTTTATCTCCCTATGTCAACTGGAAACTGATAGACAAAGTTGTGAGGCGAAGAAGGTCCTTTTAATGGCTCTAGAGAGTCTCTGATATAAAACTTTTCCGGTTACATCCCCATTAAATTGCAATTTCATAAACAAATGTTTCTTTTGTATGGTAATAATTCCAAGTTTGTTTCCACTGCCTTTGTCTATGTCTTTTTATGAAACCGATAGGGTAGCCCATTTCAACCAATGAATTACGAATATATTCAACTCCTTCTATAGTAGATCATCCGAACATATTCTTCTGGCTCTGTTAGTGAGGCATTTAACCAAGTTTGCTTTCTACTGAATTGGTACATGACTCAGAAAATGTGTGTACTGATATATAGATATAGTCTTCCAGCTGACTGAATCTTCTTATCATCTGTTTAGCAGGGCATCCAAGAAGTGTAGTTTACTCACATTTTCTTCTTCACAAGTGAAAGTGATTGAAGGGTGCACCTCATTAAATTTCTTAACACCTCGTTTGTATCCACATTCTGATTCGGGTTAATGAATGTGTTGTCAATATAACGGCGATACATAGTCATCTCATTAACGACATTTTTCAATGCTCCAGTCCCCAGTTTGGCAAGAAGTATATCAGCTAAAATAAGGTCGAATGGAGAACCCATAGCTATCCCGTCAATTTGTCTATAGTGTGAGCTATTGAAGACAGAATACACTTTCATAGTACATCTAAGAAGCAACTCCTTGAAAATGTGTATGGGAATCCCGATATCGATTTTTCTCTCCGAAATATAAATTACTGAGAAGGGTGGTGATTTGTCCTCTATATGACAAGTGTCGATAAAGTTTGATGGTGTGGATATAGTAACTAGCTTTATTTCTCCTTTTGTCAGCTACATCGGCAGATTTTTCATATCACGTTGGAACAGTGTGTAGGTGAAGTGATACGTTACAGTAAAGTATGGTCATTAGTTTTTTTTTGAAACAGTCAACTCACCGTTCAAACATAGTACATATTCGTTGGTTTATAGACTAAAAGGGAAGGAGCTGAGGAATGTTCTGGAATGTAGTTAAAGTGTTATGATTATTGATTTCTACATCGATACTGATTTAAGAGTTCATGGAGGAAATAATATCATCTTCATGCATATCTTTTCATTGACAAGATCCTACACAATTTAATGTTTAAAGAAGTATTCAAGTAGTCACATTTTCTGTACAAGTTACTCTATGACTTGCATGAAAATGCATAGAGGATTTCTTTCCATTTTATCTGAACACTTTCAAGTAAATAGAGATGTACTACACAAGACCTGCACTAAATTATAGTTGGCTGTGGCTTTTTACTGTCAAACTTTCATTACCGAGTATAGTTTGAATTTAAAATTCTCAGCCTGATTGATAAACGAGTGGAGAAGAGTCTTTCTCCACATACTTTTCATAGTTTATATAGATCTTAAAAATATCAAGAAGTTGAACGTGATGTAGAAGCTTTCTGGTAATCAGTGTTTCCAAAGCCACATAAATGTAGTTTAGTAGTCAGTATACATATGGATCCTGTATTGTGAATAACTTTCCTAGTCTACGTAGCCTCATCTATTCATATGTTTTGATAAACACAGCAGCATACATAATTCTGTCGCCATAAAAAAAGTATCAAAACTGCTCATTATATGTTGAACAGTATGTACAATAAATGGATACTTTTGCTCTACTCATATGAACTTGTCAGATTCATTATCTCTCTCTTCCTATTGATTACTGTGTTCATGTATTTTGTAGCTATAAAGTTGAACCTTCTCATTGGTTATTTAAAAGCCATGATTCTACTGATTTTATTGGCTTATCTTTATTAGTGTTTTAATCGATGGTTTCACTAGTGGAAGAATAAAACTCTCTTAGCAAAAACACAAGCATATTCGTACACTGTTGAACGAATGACAGCTTCATTAATTATGGTATGCTCTTGACAATTATCTAGTTTATCGATTAAGTTTTCATGAACAAATTGCAAACTGATTGATTTTAAATACTTCGAATCTTAGTTTTACCTAATTTTGTTTGACTGAAAAATGAGTATAGATTCATTTAAACAAAATATCAAGGTTTTGTTAATGACTTACCTCCATTGTTTTACCATCCATTACCATTGCATCTAATAAAGTATGCCCATTTTCATCAGGTGAACATCCAAAGCCTACACTTTCAATGTTTGGATCATCTTCAGCATTGGTACATGCAGCAACAACAGCATCTATTGACTTTCCAAACAACTTAGAATTAGGTGGACTGAGTATATTCCAACCAGCTTCTGTTGCATTCGAAAATGGCCATGTGTTGATGATAATAACAGGAGACAAATAGTCAGCATATATACCAGCTGTAATCACTAAGGTTAATGAAACTACTAAGCGTTTAGTTTGTGCACTGTTAAACATCTTTTATATGTTAATTAATAAAATTAATTAAACTTATTGAAAATTTTCATTTATATTATATTTAAACAGACAGATTTCATACGATCAAGTGAATCAAATATGAGAAATAAGCGAGGTTACCAATAAGAGACAGACTATTGAATAACCCTGAAGTTGATATAAACACGAATTAACACAAAACCATATGACTGGTTACTTTAATCATGCTTTATTTATTGAAGATTATTGATTGGAAATGATGATTTTATAATACATTTATAGTTTTTTTTATTTGTGAACGAATATTGAATGTATTGAACATTGAACAATGACAAGAAGATTCAATAGAATTCATAAGCATACTTCTTTCTTTGGTAAAACATATTCATTGACTTCATACAATATTTGTTGTCTACGCATTTATGATTTAATTGTTCGAAAAAAATGAAGACAGAAGGGTGCAAGTATATCCAGCTGATGAGTTCGAAATAGGCCGAACCACACGTTTCGGTTTTCACTGCTAGCAACCAAGTCGACATGAGGAGAGAGAAATACCCTGATTAAGAAAGCGGAACTTAAATCAAAAATTCAATCAAATCATCATACTGTGCCACAAAGTGAAAAATGTTTCATGCTTATCCAGTTGAGATGATTCATATAACAGTCTATGGCTTATCACTTTTGAGATGAATTCATTAGCTTACGGATATGTGAATTCCTTTCAGTCAAGATATACATTCCCTGCCTAAATACAGAATTCTGGAAAAAGAAAAAAATCAACCTAGAACCTCACACACCAGTGCATCGTTTAAAGTTGTCACACTCCACTATAGTATACAGACAACAGGTGGATATGAGAAGACTGATATCAAAGTAGACAAAGTTGTGATAGAATAAATAATCTAAAGGTTAAGGTTAGTGCGAATATTCAGGCTTTAGAAGACGTCAAGGAATCAATACATCTGCTCAAATGTGACCGATTTTCAACCACTAATTCCTTTCGTCTCGAGGATCCCAACCAGATAGTCTACATCTCCCCACACGGCTCACACTAACGGTCAAGGACTTCACCGACTAGTGCCATGTCTCGGTCTTGGCATTCTGAAGCTTCTTCTAGTCTAATCCAACTCCCCGTAGAATGGCACGTCCATGTAAACGGTGATTCGACATGAGTAGTACATATTCAGGACAGTTTTAATCAATCAAGAAGATTTCAAGTTGAACTCTAAATTTAGCCCGAAAAAAGAGGGTCAATAATAGGACTTCTGAAAAGTCTTTGCATGCTATTTTAAAAGTAACACAGAACTTCCAAACCATTAAACCAATGTTTAAAAATAATTGTATGTAATCAGATTTACTTCAGTGTATTTAAGAGAGTGACTTGATTTCGTCGGAAGCGTATACAAAAAGAAAAAAATTCTAAATGGATAAAAGCATCTACTTAAATTTAACTTGAATACATTTCAAATAAAATCAGAACGACTAGTTTCTCTTTAAATTTTGATGAAATAAATGGATAGAAAGGTAATGATTTTAGTGGAGTTTTCACCTTTAGTAATGATCAGTTATCATTTGACTATTTGAAATAGCCGTAGTTCGGTAGACTAGTTTTATTGATAGTGGGTGATGATTGAAAGTGAAATGAAAATTTGGACCGCGGTCGGGTTCGAACCAGCCACCACTGGGTTTCTGGCCTAATCCTCTACCAATTGAGTTACGAGGTCCGTTGGTGGAGCATCGGGCCAGAAACGTGGTGGTAACTGGTTCGAATCCCTCCGTGGTCCAAATTTTCATATCACCTTCAATCACCACCCAGTATCAATCATCAGTTAAACGACTACTGAAAATAAGGGAATTCGTTCTTTTCAAAACTCGTCATTAGTTTGTATCCTTAATTACTTTTTGTATTGTGGAAGAAACCTATTTATTACTCATAACTATGTCTGCAAGTTTCTTAATTTCCACATATGGTTTTCTTTCGATGTGCTCATTGATTTTATTCAAGTAATCTGCCTTATTCATAACCACTGTCGAGTTCCCTTTGTCAGATTTAAGAATTACTATACTATTGTCATTTCTTAAATTTATCAGCGCTAATATTTCTGGTCTTGTTAAGTTCTGCCCCCCTTTCTTTTGATGTTTTCGTGTCAATTCGCATCGTCCACGTACCTGGTCATCAGTTATCTTATATATTGAACCTAATGCTACTTCTATACTGAGTATAACATCTTCATCTTTGAGTTGAGCTACTGCAACGTTAAAGGTTAGTACTTTCTCGAGGAATTTTATTTCAGTTGAGGTTAATTCTCTAGTAGAGAGACTGATCGCCCATTTTTTTCGATTGATGGTTGACAGTGTTTCATTTGTAACTTCCTTCTTCTTTGTGGGGAATTTCTCTTCCACTATTTTGTTGATTTTTTAAAATTTGAGTTTTTGTGGATTTCTTGAAAGCAGCTACTTTGTCTTACTATTTTCATCAGTCTATATTTCGGTTGTTCAATTTCATTGTGGATACTGGCTAATTTCTTGATAAGCCTATGGAGTTCTTCTCTCAGACATAGTTTGCTGACTTTTCCAATAACTCTTCTCACTCTATCTGTTGGAATTGGAGTCCGCAGAAGAATATATCTAGGAATAATTTGGTTTTTAATTCATCGAATGTTAAAAATATGATGGTTTGTGCATCGTGTTTCAGTTTGTAAAAGTCGTGTGAGTTTATCGATTTCGACTTCGAATGCGAAGACCAGAAGTGTGATTATTGTAAGAGAAAAACTTGGACTGTTTGGTATTATTATTCTATATTCCATATTAGACTGTTCATTTAATAAAGCACACAGTCAGCAAACACTCCTGGTTTACAATCCTCCGCATAAAATACTAGTAAAATTTGGATCTTTTGATTGAAGCAACCACTTGAAACTTCTTCAAAGTCTATAATATCCGCATTTAACTGTGTAAACTTAGGCAGCAAATTATATAAATAAATGAATAAACACTTCCGCAAACGAATTTGTTTCCATTGATGTCATCCTCAGAAGCTGTATTCCGCATTTACATATAAATAGTGTGCATATTTATTGGTAAAAAAGGTTATGAAGTAAATGAAGACAGTAAATAGTGAAATGGACTCTCAATACACAATTCTGGTTTCAATTTTTTATTGACAGAGCTTTACCAACCACACCCTGACACCCTTCAGAAAATTATTTTGCAGTTTATACACTGCTGAAACGAATCTTTTGGAGCCATATATTGGCCGTCGACTGAATATTGTAGTATGTAGCTTTTAAACTGTCGACTTTTATTAAGCCATGCTTGGAGGTGATGGTATCAATGTTTCGACAATCTGCCTCTACTTTCAATCTATATACCTAGCTCTAAAGGATCAGATAAACTGATGATATGGATAGGGATAGTAGTGGTGGTTTGTCTTTCCTATCAGTGTTCATCACTCAGGGACTAATACTGAGGATTTATACAGTTCTCTCTTGACAGACCTCATTAGTCTGCGTTTTATCGTTGATGAATTTCACTCTATTTCGCTGACTGACAGAACTAGGGAAATACGGACCACCAAGCTCTGACCTAGTGGGTCAGTGGGAACGTGAAGGTCCTTAGTTCGACGAATGGTGGGGTTGTCGGTGCACATGGATGAAGGGTTCCATACTAAGATAGGATTGCTGTCCCAACCTCACAGGTTTCCGATGATTACCTGACTGGTGTCAGTCCGTGTTGAATACCAGGTTGAGATTTTTTATCTCATTGAACACTAGACCAGCACAAGTGACATCATGAGCATTTAACAAAATGAGGGAGAAAACAAATCTAACCTCATAAACTTCTTTAAAATGCGTACGCAACTAAAAAGTTACAAAGGAGAAATTTTTTGAGAGTATGTCATAGTAACTAAGTCAAAGTATATACTATAGTAGGACAAAGAATATGTTGGCCGGAAATAACGTTTTCTAACTGAAAGTTTCTCGGTTTCAGGCAAAATAGATTTCGAATTTTAGATCATATAATCAAATTGTGATATCAGCAAGCAAATACCAGACTTAAATTTTCCCATCACCAGAACCAAAAGTTTCCACCCTAAGTCAATAATCTTCATTCGCCACTGGATGATAACAATAGCAACCACGTCATCATGTGACACTCAATAAAATGTCATTCCAAACTATACTACTTATTTGTAAAAAGTAACATAATAATGAAGTATAACATTAAAAAATTTCATTGCAAAAGAACAGAAAATGGCATGTAAAGTCTGTAATTAAATAGGAAATTTCATATTCTTTTATTTATTATTGTCAGAAAATGGATGAGAATACTATATTGTTGACTGGGAATGAGAACTACCTAACGACAATGGTAGGTTTTTCATCATATTGGCTTTCTCAATTTACTTCTCAGGTATATAATTGCACTAAGAACCCAATTATTTCAATTTGGAGTAACTTAACAATCAAGCATTCTGCGAACAGGTACTTTCACCAAAAGAACAACTGAAACCACTTGAAATAGTAGAGTTCAGAGAACATTGAAAAGATTATACTTTTCTTTCTAAACTTACTAATATTTTCGAGGAGTGTAGAAGTCAGATTTATTAGCAACAGTAGTTCGGAACTTCAGAATTATAAAAATCCTACTATCACCTGACATACAATTAAACTTACGTTGTTACTGGATCAGATGATTGTCTAATTCTGTGTACATGGGTAAATTCTTACCGTCGCTTTATATAGTATAAGAAACTGATTCCTATGAAATAATCGTTGAAAATATAAGTCAGTGTTCATGCACAACCTGGAACATAGCTAAACGAAGACATGAACTACTTCATTCTTAGAAAACTGTAGAAGACAGAATAACAGTTTAGACACTTTTCTTTTATCAATTCTTGGAATATATGATAAGAGTCGTTATATATGTTATTCAGTAACCAAGTAAATGTTATGAATCTTAAAACTTGAGTTTATGCATGGGATGAGAGTATATATCATATTGATTGAAATCTCTTAATTCAGTATTATCATGAGTGATAGACTGTTATCGAGTGCTTAGATAATATATTTTGCTAACCGAATGTAATACATGAAACAGATGACTGCATATGAACTAAGTTATTCCATTCATGACTAAACGTGCACGAATTTGCAAATTGAATTCACTATTTCTCTGTTCATAGTATCAAATGCCAGTAATGATTATAAGAATCTTCACAAACAACGACAAAATCGATGAAACTAAGAAATGAAAAGTATTTTAAATAGTTTTGATAAGTAGAAGTCATTCAGAAAATACCTGATAATTATATTTTTTTTTCCCTTTTGAGGCTAGTTGTGATCAGTAACTTACTGTTTAAATTTCTGCTAACGGTGGTACAGTCATCTAACCTGTTTACTGTGGTAATCTATCCCAATTTAATTAGCGAAAATATTTTCTCCGTAAGGTACTACAATCACATAGACGTTGATTGAAACGGGGATGGATCAGAAGTGGTATATTCGTAAGCAAAATATGACGGATAAATTTCAGGTTCTGGGGTGAGGTGAGGTGCATCTCAGCAGAACAACATTAACGTGGATGTGAGATATCTAATTTTTGAGTGACTCTGCCTTCTCCTCTACAGCCGAATACGACAGGAAATTGTAGTACCCGGAAATAACTCACATTTGTCTCCACAGATTTTTGTTGGTGATGGTAAGGCATTTTAAGTATAAAGCTACTGCGATCCCTCCAGAAAAAAACGTTGCGAGGGGCCTTGAGTAGCCATAGAGTGAACTCTGTAATCATGCTTCTTAGTATACGACTATGCTTCGGAATGCAGCTAGTTTATTAGGTATACGTAAAAAACGTGATCTTTAATCGTATAGGTAGACTCGAAGTCCTTAACACTAGCATGTACCTATCACAAATCACCACTAACGTTCCCCATTATCTCATAATTTTTTTCATATAGCACTGTGTTGATAATTTTAGGTTGTCTTCAATTTCTACCAACTCTGTAACACATGGTGACGATTCGAACTCACAAAATAGCATCTCTCATATCTTAAGTCTGCGTGTATTACTCGACCTATGTTCGCCAAATCAAACCTTATATGACTTACTACTCAAAACCTTGATATTCTGGACTATGGATATTCAAATGAGCCAGTGAATCGCTCATGCAAGTGAACAATGAGAGCAGATGCACTCAAAATGCGCATGAAGAACGTCCAGTATTTGATGCTTCACTGAAACCTGGAAAATGTCATCAGTAAAGGATAGACCTGTGACTGCAAAAACCATTTTATTGTGCGTAAATGCTTCCTACATAAACTACTTCCATGTACATTTTCGTCTGACTGGTCCCTTGAAACTTCAAACTACCGAAACAGCCAGTGATTTGAAATTTTGATTTCAATACTTCCTTACAGATGTTTGTTGTGGCTTTCGGACGTAGATAAAACACATAATTATGCATAATATCTTAACTTCATTCAATAAATGGGACGAAAGTGCAAAGTTATCCCCTCTAGGTATCTGAAAAGTAACATGCGGTTAGCACGTTTTTGATGCATATACGGTGTTAATAATGAGGGTAGCATATTTATCATATGTCAACTATTTGCCGTTCGGCTGAATAACAGTATGAATTTTTGAATATTCTGGAAGCACTTGATAACGATAGCTTTTAAGAAGTGAAAACAGGCTGTTGTTTCACAGCGAAAAGTCAACAAATGTTCAGATGTGGTAATCTGTAGCGCTACTACCCACGACTGATGTCTATTACTGGGGGATGTTTGCTCCTTTTGCATTGCGTGGTCAGATGGTAGCCATAAGTAAGTAGGTGCGTTGGTACTTTAATAATCGTAGAAAGACCTCTGCTAAATGATTCAGATACTAAGTGTGTGTTTAGATAAAGACTAGCCCGACATTTAGCAGAAAGTGCCCTGACCACTAGACTGCATGATCCATAAGTAAGTGATGTTTGACCTACTGTTCAAAGGACTTACACACACCACTGTACTCTCTCCATGCTGGAATACACCGACCAGTATCAAGGAGTTGCTAGGAACTCGCAGGTACCCAGTGTTTATTAGCGGGACGTTCTTCAAATCCATAAGCAGCTTTACTCGTAGTCTTCATGGGAGCTTGTAAATGCACATCTATACCTTCTAGAGGTTCGTTAGCTATCTAAGAATCTGCTCAGGTTAGTATGCAGTTACAATACTTCATGCAAACTGTTTGCCTACGTCAAAGTCTTTGAAGACGCCAAAACCCAGGAAATTGTCATATAATAAAGCGCCATCATAATCCGAAGAGTTGATCCAGAAGGGATACCGGCCCATCAGCAGCTGACTGTAATATGATCTGTTTTAGTCCCAGATAGTACAACGGTGGTGGGTGTACACCTGCTAGAAATAGGTTGTGCAAAGCTGCAGAATACGTTCCCCACTATTTGATCTGTTACCTACTGGTCTCCATCGGTCAACCGAATGGAGAAAAATTGAAATGCACTCAGCAACCTTATGCACACAATCGTGCAGTAGGCAGTGAGCCACACCTATTGTGTGGCTGTCCAAACCCCCGATAGGTGGAGCCAGGTTCGAACCCTTGACCCGCAGGTTGAAAGTCATCTTGCTAAACCAATAAGCCATAACCCACCCAAACGATTTTGCCAAGGACCTAAAATCTCAACCTAAGGATTCCAAGTCTCCAACCAACGTTAAGATATGTCCGGCGCACCTACTTCCAGTTCTGTTCTATGATGATGTCAGCATGAACAAAACGTAAGGGATTTCGAGATTTTTAATACCATAAGTTTCGCTGAACACATGTTGCATAATGCCGCATTTTTACCCAGTAGACTTAACAAAAGAGACAGTCTCCTGAATAAACTTTACAAACCCCCCAATAACTGAAGTTAAGAGTTCATATTTTGTATAACCTCAGAACTGGCATAAGAGCTGGAATAGAAACTACTTCTCATATTATCTTAGCCGTATGAAACAATGAAAGCGTCAGCCGACAGTAGTTACACAAATAAAATAGGAATTGAAGGTCTTTATATTAACAAGTTGTCATTATTTTATGTACAAGTACAAAGAAAGAGTGCTGCTAACATTCGAGATTCGCGAAATGCACCAATTACTAACTAGATTATTTACTTTATATTTACAAACTGAACTGCAAACATTTAAACCACCAAAAAAGTCAACACATCTCTTCATGTAATGTAGACTGTCTCCTCAGCTCGTCGTTTCTTGGCAGCTAATATACCCGGTTTTGTTTGAGCATCAGGATGGTTGGCAAGATCATGCGGACAAGTGGAAACAGGAGATTGAACTAGCAATTGCTTCAAATCATAATATACTGGAGAATCTTCTTTTGTAAGCAGTGTGATTGCGATACCAGATTTACCAGCTCTCCCAGTACGTCCGATACGATGCACATATTCTATTGTGAATAAAAGAAGTATGAATAGAATTAAATAGTTATTTCCTCATAATGCAGTTTAAGAACACTTTTCACATATCCGACTGAAGTGGGAGGATACAATGAAATCCGATTTCATAAAAGTAAAAATAAACACTATGTTGCTTCAAGTGAAATCTAGACCCAGTCAGCCGCCGAATCTCAAAGCACCTTATTCGGATGTCGAGATGACTAAATCTTTTGAATTTGAACCATCATAATGCCTAAAGGCATATACACCACAGATAAAACGTGTATGTGTGTTCCCGAAACATGTTATGTAATTTGTGGTCAAACATCTTTGGAATTTTATATAAGAAAAGCTAAGAGGTGAATAATAAGACTTCTGGGAATGATAGGTATATGCTAATTCAAACCACCTTTGGATCGACCAAAACAATATGTTTTCAAACTAAGGAGAACTTGGTAATCTCTATCTGCTTTCATCCTTACTAAGAGTTGTGTAAAAGTATGTTATTCTTCCAATATTAGGATTTTTCTTTGAAGTACTTTACGGTCATAATCGTTTTACTTGTTTTATCGGTTTGCTGGGAGTTTATTGCATAAAAACATTTTTCGGATAAACTATATATCTTTTAATGATCATCATCATCATTATTATCAACATAGGACCAGGCATTACTGCGTAACGGTCCGAGTTGCCACACCTCATATCAGCACATCAAGTAAAAAGGTAGTGAGGTGAAGGATGAAGATAAGTGAATGCAGTCAAAAGAAATATAAAGTACGAGAAGAAAGGAAAGAGGAGTGACAAAATAGTGAGATTCGGTATAGCGTTGTTAAGATGAGGATAATGTGTGTATACATCTGCGCCACTGACTTCGGTTCTGAGCCATATCACCTAGGGTCTCCAACCACTGGTTCCTCTTGTCCCGTGGACCCCAACCACCTAGTCTGCATCGTCCTACATGGCTTAAACCAACAGTCAGAGACTTCATACATTGGTGCCATGTTTTAGTCTGGCCACCTCGGGCCTTTTTCCAGCCTGAACCCACCTCAGCCAACATTGTGTGACGAGGCAATCGGTGACTAGGCATACGTAGTACGTGTCCCAACCATCTCAGTCGATGAAGGTTCACAACCTCGTCGACTGACTTACCTCTTCTCCCTAAAACTCTACACCTAACTTCTGCATTACTCACATGGTGACACCACGGAATACGTCCTATACTACGAAGGCAACGGTGGTCAAATACCTGTAACCTTCTCATGTCTTCCACTTTCAATGGCCATGTTTCACAGCCATACAGTAGAACAGAGCGGACTGCTGTGCAGTACACGCGACCCTTAATAGACAAACGAATATCACGGCGGCGCCATAGGTGGCGCAAATTGGCAAAAGCCAATCGAGCCTTTTGTATCCGTGCAGAAATCTCACGGCAACTAACCCACCGGGTTGATCCTACTTCCCAGGTAAGTGAAGTGGTCAACACACTCAACCACTTCACTCTCTATTGTTAACCGCGGTACCGCTGAAGACCAGTCCTGGAGCAAAAATTTGCATTTGGGTGGTGAAAATCGCATCCCAAACATTCTCAAATTCCCACTCAAAGTGTTCAGAAGACTCTGCATCTTGTCAGCGTCTTCACCTAACAGGACTATGTCATCTGCATATTCTAGATCTAAGGAAAATTCACCTGTGACCGGTCAACGTCTTTGTAATTAGGTGACGAGAGGGAAACCTCCATAAGAATATCTATGATAAAATTAAATAAGAATGGGGATAGTGGGCATCCTTGACGGACACCACTTGATGAGTATAGCTCCCTGGACAACTCACCATAGGCTCTAACATGCCCACAAGTGTTCGAGTAGAGAGCTTTCAATAAGGTGATGTACTTACTAGGCACGCCTTTCAGTGACAGACACTGCCATAAGCTTCTCGATCAACGGAGTCAAATGCCGCCTTCAGGTCGAGAAATACAGCTATTGTCGGGCGTCTGTAAGCATGCCTATGTTCCAGGACCTGGCGCAGTGTGAATATTTGGTCGATACATCCACGGCCAGGTCTAAAGCCTGCCTGGTTTTCTCGGGCTTGCTGTTCCCAGCTCCACTCAGGCGTCGGAGAATTATAGAACTTAGGATCTTAGACACTATGTTGTCAGGCTGATTCCTCTGTGGTTATCACAAGAGGACTTCTCGCCTTTCTTGAAGACTGGGATGATAGTGACTTAGACCAGTCGGAGGGGATCGTATTTGATTCCCATATACTGGCTAACACTTCCGTTAGCCTGACTAAGAGAACTCTACCACCATTCTTGTATACCTCAGCAGGTAGTCCGTCGGTCCTGCTGCCCTTCCCCGTTTCAGGCTACCTACCGCTTTCTCACTTCTTCTAGTGTTGGGGGACCTGTCTCTATGTCCCATTCAGGGTCCGACTGGATAGCGGGCAGCGCAATGGTGGCTGGAGGCCAGTTAAACTGTTCCTCAAGTGTTCTGCCCATCGTCCAGTCGCTCCCTGCGAGTGAATCGCCGATCCGTCCTTCTCCGCTATAACCTCACTAACTGTTGTTGACCATTTCCCCCCAGTCTCCTTAATAAGTCTAAATAACTGTCTACTGTTACCGATCGCCGCTGCCTTTTCCATCTCTTTAGCCTTTGCTGCCCACCACTGTTCACGATCGTTGCGCAGACTTTTCGTCAGTTTTTTTTAAGTTGCGCTCGCTCTTCATTGTACTCAGAGCCTGCAGGGATGCATTCACGTGCATCCATTAGTTTGGAAGAAGCTGCTGATATCCACTGGCTCTTTTTAGCCATTATCTTGGAGTCGGCTACAGTCTCCAGTGCTGCTTTTACAGAGACTGAAGATGGCACCAAGCTTCTTCTGGATGAGTGACAGTTTTGTTCCGATAACTGCCTAGCCAACTTCTCACTGATAATATCCAAGTTCACTAAAGGGGATTAACCAAGGCTATTTTAAATGAATAGATAAAATGAATGTGCAGCATTCACAGTCGCTAGTATACTTCCTGAAAAGGACATTTCGATTAGCTACGCTGAAAATATATTCATGCCCAAGTCTGATCCAAATGAAGTTATACAGCTTGACAGCTGAAAGTTTGGAAGCCTACTAACTCTCGACATAGCCATACCACTAAAGTCAACAAAGTTATGCCGACAATAGCGGGTTCATCGCCGAGTTGGTAAACCTGGAACCACTAGTTAGAATTTTGCTGCGACCTAGGCTTTCATCTTACTAAACATTATCATCCTGTATCAGTATTTCCAGTACACCGAATCCCAGATATCTCAGATAGTCCCACTGACAATCAAGAAATTGGTAACATACCGTCAATAGTTTTCGACATATCATAATTTATGACCATGGATACATCTTTGATATCAATACCACGACCTGCGACATCAGTAGCAACCAAAATCTCCTTCTGACCAGATTTTAGACTTGCTAAAGCATATTCTCTTTGTTCTTGTCCTTTACCACCGTGTAAAACAACAGCACTATATCCAAGTTTTTCTAATCCTTGGCTAGCACATCAGCACCTTTCTTTTGATTGACGAAAATGATCACAGGTGGATCAAGTCCTGCAGAAAGTATTTCCAATAGTTTCCTCCTATAAAAATATAAATTTCAGGTCATTCAATTATTAGTTGCTCTTAACAGTGAAAAATTCTATCATTGGCACCTCTAACAATGTACGAACAGCTTATTTAGTATACTTTTCATGAATAAAAAACAAGATATGGAATCATCAAAACTATGCCGACCTATATATCCAAATATTGGAAGTTTATCAACATCTCGCATACGGAATGCTAACTTACTTTTTGAGTTAACGATAACAGTTTTGGTCATTCAGAACTCTGAATAAATATTACATGTAAGCTGAGATGCATAATGGACTTACTCAGTTAACATTTAAATCAAACATAGGTATACGACATTACATCGTCTAACGAGCTTAACCTTCACTCGTTTTCTTCTTTTATCTTACACTGCTGTTCAGGGAAGGTGGCTAAGAGATATGCGTCACATAACTTACCAAAGGTTAGTTAATTAGTTCACTTATTGACCTACCCATTTTACTTGTTAGCATAAAACTAAAATCAGCTGCAGTTACCCAACAGCCTAAATATGTGTGAATGATGTGATCAAATGCAAACAAACGCTTAATGGTAACGCTTCACATTCGTACACGAGAAAGACATGCACAACATTACTAAGTAACAGTCAGAGTTGAAATACTTTATAGCAACAAATCTAGATAAAGTTTAGAAACGGGGATGATGGAGAAAATTTGATATTATCTAAAGAGGCAGAAGCCATAAGACGAACTATTTCCCATCCTAATTATGTGTTTTCTTAACATATTCTAACATTCATTATAATAACATACTATCTTTGTTCATCGACATTTAAGCAGACTAGATTGTTTTCATGAAATTATTTCTATCACGATAAATAATTTCATGAAATTCTTCAGATTGAATACTTTCGATCATTTTATCCATCGACAGTTACCTAACATTTCTGCACTGGATAAATAACCTGTTGAAGTGACTGATTAGTTTTCGTCACCTTAACTATGTATGTATGTTAGCTTTGAAATTTTCTATAAATAATTACCATGTATGTAGAGTTTACGTTTGTTGAAATCTACCAAAAACCAACTGAAGTCAACATCTTACTTTTAGAATGTTCATATACAGGGCTTAATGTAAGGAGGAACTTTTTCTTGAAGTATGTGTACGTGAAAATACAACAGAGTACTAAGAAGTAACTGATTAAATACTACATATTTCATACAAACGAATATGTAGAATAATACTGTTTATGGTGCATTGTAAACAATATATTATAGCTTCCCCAACTTCCTTCCAGATTGATAGCTGCTATCATAACGTGGTGATCAGGTTTGTACATCAACATGACTGAACGAGTTATGTAGCTGCAGCAGGTGTTTGATTGAGGACATACCATATCAAAAATGGCCGTTGAATGGTGGTATTTCTCGCGAATGACCCACACTAACATGTTGATGCTGCCTCCTCTATGAGGAGAACGGTTGAAAAGGTTGCACCGAAAGTCAGGGCACTTTTCCCTACTTTGCAGTCCTCTAATCCCGGTAGTATGGGTTTTCTAGCTGCATGCAAATCATTCAATGTTATGCCTGAAACTTTCGGAAAAACCGTATGCAGTCGGAAACAAGCGGATGTCTTGTGGACTCTGCAGTCACGTATTACATCCAAGAAGTAGTCTTCCATGATATGAACAGCACGAAACCGTCAACCGCCCTCGTAGCTCTGTCTGCAGTTGTTCATTTGGACCTTTACCAACCCCCCCCCTATCTTTGTCGTTTAATGTTTCGTCACATCTCTCGGTTAACATTCCGATATCATCTTTAATTTCTTCCAGCCCCTCAGTCCTTGATAACGACTACAGTTCACAGAATTTCAACTTCTGTCTTTGAAAACTGTGATTTAAAGTACACACTGGAGCTTTTAATGAAAAACAGGCCGTTAGTCAAAACTCCGGCTTTTCACGCCATCCATACAGAACCTAAGTTCAGCTATTCATTTAACCTAACATAGCCAATGTGGTGAATCTGCAAAATTGGCGGCTAGTTCTAGCGGCGCTATAGGTGACAGAGAGTGAAAGCGCATTACTCAACAGTTCGACTTGTCCCCAACTAGTTTTTGGTAACTCGAAATTCATTTGGATCCTGAATAAAAAAGACAGGCTATTCAAACCCTGAAAAAGTTGAAAATTGTGGATAGTCTGAAACGAGAAAGGGTATCTGAGGTACTATGAGAGGTACTTAAGGACCATGATCAAGGGTTGTTGCTAAGATTAACTAAAGGACAACTTAGCCCATGAAAATAAGATAATTTACCTTCAGACTGTTCTTAACTAGTGATTGTCACATTCTTCAGGAAAGAAGAGAAATGCTATTGTGACAAACATAGCGAAAACAGTCTAACAGATGCGCTCCCAAAGATTTTGTCTGATCACCATCAGATATCAAGGGGTCTTGATTCAGAGGTTTGGTTATCTAGGTTGTAGTCATCTGTTACCCAATAGTTGCAGTTTGTAGCCTTAGATAACAACTTTTCTACAGTTGTCGGGTTGCAGTAGCATGTTATTAAAAATCATCGCTATATCATTAAAAGTTAATGAAAAAGGATGACGAATAAATGCCATTGCTTCCAAGTAAAACAGTTGGATTTGTTTGAAACGCTACCTGACATACTAGTAATGCATAAAGAAGATGAAGGACTTCTAAGTGACCTAAATTAGATAATTTGGATAAATTTAAAAAGGAAATTAAGAATCCCTATCAACTCAATGATCATTCTTTTTTTAGCTATTTTGGTGTGGTTAAAGCTATTTTCAGGAATTCTTGAAATTTAAGAACGTTACTCCCACTTCATCGCTAATTGGTCCATAAGAGCAGTGATTTGAACTGAGAGCTGACGTTTAAGGATTAGCAACAGGTGATAAAATACAAAATGTGTTGATCGATTTAATCAATGGAAGGACATCTCTTTAGTCTGTTTCTTACCTAATAAAATGCCTGTTGCATTGCAACGTTGCTGTTCTATACTTCTGATATTAGAGTTATAGCTGATACTTAAATCCTAAATCTTCATTTTGCTACTAAGATGCATGTGTTCATGGGTTGAAAAAATCCTACCCATTCTAAGTAAGTGTATTCGAACCAATATAAATGATTTTAACTCACATCATCTTACGTTAATAAACAAAGAATTCTATCTTACAAACCATGGACAGTGTGTCTACAATTTCGGAAATTGATATATTTTATTGATATCATCGATTATTTCATAGTAGTCTGAATACTTTTGGGTTCTCTAGAACATCTCGAAGAACTGGAAATTTGACGTGAACCAACATGTAAAGCATTGCTTCCAAATACTAAAAGGCTAAGGCACAATTAAATACGGAGTGCGTTATCACAGTGAAAATTATAATCAACCAGAAAAAATAAGTTGTATATCTTGACGTTCGGTGGCATTCGGTATATTATAAAATTCTAGTAACTGCACTGAGCGAAAAATATGGAATTCGCATCTACATTGAGAAGTTCCTAGGTTCTCCATAGAGGATATACTCGTTGGAACATTTCTTATGACACCAGTAAATAGTTCTCCACGTTAGATCTCATGCAATTAACTAGGATGATGAAATTCATATTCAGCAACAGAAACAGTGTTTTCTATGCAGTAACTAGTATTAGAACAGTGTTGTACAGTCTCGGCTTGAAACGATGTATGAATGTAACAGAAACTAGTATAATTTTTCCCACTACAATGACCAATACATGTGTGATCACATTGTTCAAAATGTGTTGTGCAAAAATATCACATTTCAGACAAATTGTCTTTTCATTCTATGGTTTACTATGACTAATAGAATTATTTTCATAGGTATCTCAGCACTATCAGCATCAAAAAACAATTACCTCTTTTCCTGCTCAGAAACCATATATACAATCTGTTCAACTCGTTCTGTTGGTTTCCCAGCACTCCCAATGTATACCATAGCAGGTCGTCTCAAATAGGTGCGAGCAAGACGTTCAACTGCAGGAGGCATTGTAGCAGTAAACATGACAGTCTGGCGGTATTTATGTTTCGTTGCGAAATTGCTTAGGAGTTTTGAATCGTCTTCAGCATCTTCATTATCAGGTTTTTCGTTGGTAACTGGCAGGTAAGTGAGAATATTGTTGACTTCAGGTTCAAAACCCATATCAATCATTTTATCAGCCTATCAATTCAAAACCACCAAACGGAAAACAACTGGATCTATGAGCATTCATATTTGACTGAAAATACTCCGACGAAAATTATGTATATTCATAAGACAAAGATAAAACCACCTTTTTATAAATTTCAGTGTATTAATTTGCAATCTATTTAACGTTGTCGGTCAGCTTAAACATGAGACCTGGTATTACTGAAAAGCAGTTCCAGTCGGCACATATTATATCACCACATCACGAGAGAATGCACCAAGGTGAACGTTGCAGAGATAAGAAACAAAGTAATCAAAAGTGGTAGAGTCGTGAAAAGAGAACAAGAAGAAGCGAGAGTATGACAATTAAGATAGAAATAATGTGTGTAAAAATCAGGACTGTTGAGATCGATAGTGTGCTATTTCACCTAGCCTTCGACTCCCGATTTCGGTTGTCATGGGAACCCCAACAGAGAAGTTTAGATTTTTCGACACGCCTTAGACCAACAGTTAGACTTCATGAACTGCTGCAACGTTTCAGTCTGACTCCGACATGGTACATGGTGACTAGGCGTGCGTAGCAAATGTCCCGCCACTCCACCCGATGAAGGTTTACAATTTAGCCAACTGACCCTCCTCTTCTTTAAACAACTCTAATGACCTGGTGGAACCACGACACAGTGCTTGTGCCACGAAGGTAACGCTAGTCGAATACCCGGAATCTCATACCCACTACCTTTAATGGCGATGTTTGACAGCAATGTAGTAGAACAGAGCGCACTATAACGTAGTACACTCAACTCTTGACGAGCAATAGAAAACCACGGCGGTGTGTCAGATGGTATTAAGTGACGAAAACCAATCCGTACAGAGATTTCATCGGTCATTGACCCACTCGGGATGATCCAACTTCCTAGGTAGGTGAAGTGGTCAAAACACCTAACCATTTTCACTTCCCGTTGTTAGACGGGGAGCCACTAATACTACTGGGTCAACAATTTGGATTTGCCTGCAGAGAAACATCTCAGATATTCCCAAACTGTCACTTAAGTCATCCAGTAGGTGCTGTATATTGTTAGCATCTTCACCTTAAAGGATTATATCTTCTGTGTACTCTAGATCTAATAAGGAGTCTCGTATAACAAGGCCAGTTTCTGTAATGCCAGATGACGAGAGGAAGATATCTATAAGAATTTTTATGATAAAGTTGATTAAGAATGGAAAGAGTTGACATCCTTGACGGACATCATTCGACGCGTAAAACTCACTTGATAACTTACCGTAGGCTGTAACACGCTCACAACTGTCCGAGTACACAGCGTGCATCAGAGCTACTCACGTAATCGGCACCATTTTTAGTGAAAGACAACGCCAAACTTTCAAGTCGATTGAGTCGAATGCCGCTTTGTGATCAAGAAACGCAGCTGATGCAGGGGGTCGATAAATGTGCTGGGAACTGACGGATGGTGAATATCTGGTGGATACATCCACAACCAAGTCTGAAAAATCCCTAGCTTCTGGGGGTTTGTTGTTCTGGAGCTTCACTTAGCGGTTTAATGAGCATAGAACCTAACATCTTAGGCAAAAGTTTCATCAGGATGACTACCTTATGTTTATCACAATGGGATTTCTCTGCTTTCTGGGACAATTAGTGATTGAGACCGATCAGAGGGGATGTAGAGGTGCGTTCACGTGCATCCACTAGTTTAGCTGTTGAGATTTACTGGCTTTTTCTAACCAATTTATGAGGGTCAGTTATGGTGTTCAACGCTGTTCTTACATGAAACTAGAGATTGCACCAAGCTTCTGAATGCGATGTTTTGTACCGATACCTTTCTGGCCAGCTCCTTGCTGAAAGCAGCCTTGGTACTCTCATCATCAAGCAGCATTCCAAATGACCTCGGCGTTGTAGTTTCCCCAGTTTTACTCAGGTGTAGATAAAACGTGCCTAAACCAGTGTGACATCTAGCCATATACATGCTGGAGAAAGAGTGGTAATCTTCCAGTGACCTTCCCAATATGGTCTGTGTCAAACACTGAGTTGAAGTCCGTGGACGTCATGTCAATGTCCCTCTTTGTTTGAAGTTCGTGCTGTATAGAAAAATATTGTTGTCTGAGAACGGTTGTAGGATGCAATTATCGTTATCTGTTCTTTCTGCGTGTATGCAGAAAGTGCCACCTGAATGCCTTTCTGTTAACTTAGCCTATCTACTTGTGCTTCAGAATCATCGGCACAACAAGCATACTTGAACGTTCGGTTTTTAATAGGAAGCTAGATGGTTTTTAGCAGTTCATTTTTCACTTTAACTGAAACGCAGTAATTAAAAATATGAGGCTACAATGAGTTTCTTTACAGTCCTGTGTTATTCATCCGAACAGCCCACATGTGGCTGACAGCTAGGAACTAGCTAAGCACTGTATTTTTTACCTTGGGACTAAAAACCATACCAACCCCTGCAAAACCACGAGAGTTCGCCACCGAATCTACCGAAACTCTTAAGGTAAATTTGCCAGATTCACCATATTGAGCGAGGGAGGTTAACTTATTCGCGTGACACTAACAATTCTTTTATGAGTTCAGTAGTAACGAAGACTCACTCGTATCATATGCCATCACAAAGTTTAACCAAGGAAACTTAACTACTTTCTCCATTCATGGACGCGAAATGAATAATATTGACGAAATGTTGATGATAACGATACAGAATGCTTTTTGACGATTAAAATAACATCATGTTTATGCATTTCCAAAAAGACAAGGGGATCTACAAAAAGAAATCGGAATCAGCAAAATACGAGTTAAGACGAGAATAAACAAGACTTGGACTTTCTGCAGAGAAGCAGATAGTGAAATCATCACACATTCTTCAACGTTTGGCTGTCACGTCATATTTCTTAAATTGTATCATGCCAGAAGTGTATGATCACAAATGGGAAGGTAAATTTACGTCAGATTGCTACTAATTAGCCTCATACCACGCCCTTAGGAGATGCATATGGACATAATTAGTTAAATTAATCACATATAACAGAAGAAACATATGTGAATACTGTAGTGATGGGATTTGAAAGTATGGATACAGTTTTCAAGTGAGAAGTGGCAGAATGTGCCCTGCGATTTTATCATACTAGCAACAATCTGAAAGCTTTACTTAGGTAGTTCAAACATGCCAATGACAGATTTTAGCATGTGACGCAATAAACTGATGCCTTGTGTGGGTTAGAACTCTTAGGGCGTTTTGTGTTACGCCAGTAGAAATATTGAAAGTACAATGGTTGAAATTGAAGTGTCATAACTGTCAATTGCTGAACATGAACTATCCATTTATCTTCCTAAGAATGCCCTGACTTCAAGATGTCAAAATTTCTTTCTCATGAACAATTTAAAAACACGGCTGAACTTACTTCATCTAAGACAATGTAAGTACACTGATTTAATACCATGTACCGGTTTTCCAAAACATCATTCAAACGACCGGGTGTACCAATAACTATTTCAGCACCCATACGAAGTTTTAGCGCTTGGTCCTCACGCGACAAACCACCAATTAACGAGACAGTTTTAATTCCCAACGGTCGACCAAACTTTACGGTCTCTTCTTCAATTTGCTGGGCAAGTTCTCTAGTGGGAGCCATTATAATGGCATAAGGTCCTTGTTCTGTATCCTTTTAAGAAATGGTCAACGTCAATGTTAACTTTACCTCAAGTCTTTCTAGCTTTGGAAGTTGCTGAATCCAATTCAGTAACGGTATGAGAAATGCCGCTGTTTTCCCAGAGCCTGTTTCTGCGACCCCAATAATATCACGATTTTGTAAACCAATCGGTATTGCCTGACGCTGGATCGGTGTTGGCTCGGGATAACCAACCTTAAAAATGTGAAAGTCATTTTATTTTGTTTGCGTACTTTTTTGATCACATCCTTAAGTTCATCAGCAACGTTCATCTCAGCCCACGACCGCAGAGGGTTGGGAATGTTTCCACCTTTAGTCGAGATGCTGAAGTCTTCACGGAAGATTCGCCAATCACGTTCAGTCATCTGACTTAAGCCTTTTTCGGTCCAGTGCCGGTCATCCCATTTCTGTTTAGCTTCACGCTTGGCAACACCGGTTAGGCGCTTTCTGGAAAGTGAACAAAAGTATGAAGAACCTACTCTTCTTGAACCCTTTGAGTATCAGAACGACGATCTTCCAACAGTTTGGAATAAAAGCGTCCGATTTCTTTTTTTTGTTGCTGAAAATTGTAAATAAGGTATATGAGAGTACCTTAATGTCAATACCACCAATATGACCTCGACCGAAAAACTGAATTTGGTGCTTTTCTTTGTAAAGTGGATTATAATCTTGACTAGTGTCATCCGCAGCATCCCAGTCAAACACAAACTTTCTTTCATTCAGTCGCCTAGGTCGACGCTTAGTTAGGCGCTTCTGACCTAAATAGCGCTCTTTTATAACTTGTTCCTCTTGCACAGTTGAGTTTTGTTTATTCCCAGTGCCACTGTCTTCAGCCACTCGTTTCCCAGGATTCCTTGAGTTTCTGTACTGCCTCATTCGCTCTTCGAAGTCTTCTGTACGTCTCTTCCTTTCCAACCCTAGTGAAAAATAAAGTGACTAAACTGAAAAACCTTTAGCACTCTCTAGATACTCCGTTTGTTTTTTGAAAGCCTCCATCTGCTTTTCACGCTGAGCTTGGACCTCAGCTTGCCTTCTCCGAAGAGCTTCTTGAATGCGTTCCTCCTTCGAAATAAATTTCGGCTTTATTTGTTCTGCCTCTTCTGCCTTTTTCCTTGATATCAACTCTTCTAAGGAGATTGGACTCTTTTCTGAACACGTGGAGTTTCGCTCTCTACATCATTTTTGAAGCCTTTCCCATCTTCCATTTTGGTTTCTTTAGCTGGCGAGCCACGAATATCAGTATTTTCAACAGGACTAACGCGGTTGTCAATTGTTCAATGAAAAACTAACCTCGCTTCGTTTTTAGATTTGTGTTTTTTCTTTTTCTTCTTGTGCTTCTTCTCTTTCTTGGCCTTCTTCTCCTTTTTCTTGCGCTTCTTCACCTCACCACTGTCATTCATTCCCACTTCTTTCATAGTTCACTATCCAGGTTAAAAATCAGGAGGAATCAAACACTCACTCTTCCCGTTTTAATTTGCATCCTTCCTCGTCACTCACATCCTCATCAAGTTCACCTTCTTCCAAGGTGACATCACCGTTATCCATCAGTCAACAGTAACGAGATAGATGAACAGTGCTAACACATTGTTCAAACTTCCAATGCCTGTAGGTACAGCGTATACTTCAGATTATTTTAACCTGTTGTTGATGGTAATTAACCATTTGCTCAAACATGCTAGTATTCACTCTGTCTGTTCCAATTCTCAATTAGGGGACTTGCTTGAGTGAGACCGGATGTAACTCACGAATACAAGAACCAAGCCTTAAATGCTTGGAACAGTGGCTCAAAAACTGTTTATTTCCTAAACTTACACCATTGATGTTAAGTGCTGGACCAAATTTTACCATGTGATCTGCACATGTTATCTATTTCGCCGTTTCTGCACTAGTTACAAGTTGCTTTACAGCATAGTTCACGATAGTTGTTTGTGCTGTTTTCATAATACTACTTCATCTCATCATCACATTGTGTCACATTTACCTAACCATTGGGATGCTGACAATTTATACAACAACTACTAGAGAGTAGCATGCTTGAAAAATATCATTCATCTGTCTTTAATCCTATGACCATATGACTCAGGAAAACAACAGACACTATTTCCGAATTATTTCAAGTTCCGAAGATAACAATTACTAGTCAGACCCTCGTTACTGTAACTGCGTGGCTGAGATTGTACATACACTTTTGATGGTAGATTTTTACACATTAGGTTATGTAGGCTATTGTCCCATCAGGGTTTCTATAGCCTATTGAAATCTATCACTTGACAGAATCCCACACAGAACGGTGGACAAATGCCCAGGAATGTGGTCATTTCCATGGCAGCTACCATTACTTTATGTGCAGCATCTCAACTTTGACTAAAGTTCAGACCATTCGGTCCCTGTCATCCACAAATATTTTTATCTCAGGCGTAATCTTTCAAGCTTAAATTATGCCAGTATGAAATTTTACTGCATTTGATCTTATAGTCCCACGTAATCCTCCCAAATCCCTAGCTTGGAGTTAGACAAGAATGATGCTGACCATCATAGTTTCGTCTAATTTCCTAAACTCAGGGCACGTGGTCAAGCATCCATACCTTTCGGCACGTTGTTGTGTTACATTTCAGTGCTCGTAATAGAGCCTTTAGTCAGCTAGTCAGAATGCTTCGGGATTCTGGCACGACCACTCGAATATACCATTCCCATCTGACTACGCTATTGTTCCCCTGGTCTCATTCATGGGTATATTACAAGTACGAACAATTAGAGATTGACCTTTCCATCTGTCAGGTTCACGCAAGAACAATTCCTAGAGTGGTATCGTTGAGGCTGACGTCGTGGTGTGCTAACCTGGCACCGTATTTGTCGCACGCAGTTAGTCAAGTCATGCGGAACGTTTTGTAACCGGCTAAAATGTTCTTCGAGCACTCATTAGGTGGTTCTATAAAATAACTTGGTAGTGCATCGGCCGATGTCCTGCTTGACACCCGAACGTATGCCGTGGAGGACTAGTAATTTGACACTCCATTCGTCATCAGTCTCTACAGCCAAAAATGCAGCTTTTATTTTACGATGACACCTTTCGACAATACCACTGAATGCAGGATGGCACTCAGCAGCTCTTCCGTGCTTGATCTCGAGAAGTTCGGTTAAGTTTTGAAGTAAGTAACTCTAAAATGGTGCACCTTTGTCATGATGACGCTTGGGATACCGACGCTAGAAACCCATTGTTGGATGATGTTTTCTGCTGACGGTTCGACAAATATAATATGCTGAAGTATTGCCACAAGCCATTTCGCGAGTCTGTTTACACATGTTGAAATGTAGATAAAACCATTTGACGGGGTAGTGGCCTGACGATTTCAACTTACCTATACTCAAATCTACAGTCTGGTGCGGAAAGTTTTCCGGTAGGTGAAAGAATATGCTTCCGCACTTGTGACCGCTGGCATTTGAGCAAACTCCGGACCACCGTTGAGGATCTCGATTTATATTTATCCAGGCGTATAGGTCAGCAATCAACCTAATAGCAGCTAGAATACCAGGATGTGAAACGCCATGCATCTTAGAGCAGACTAACCGTCCCTATCATAATGGCGCAAACGGACGCGGTTTACTGTTGGATGTGTCACGGACGATGAATAGAACCGTCGAAAATCACTTGAAGTGAGGTGTTTGCGTCGCCTTCCAAGATTTTTGGTCCTCATCGGTCACCCAGAACTGGGCCACTTCTACTAAGTCGATATCGCCACATTCTAGTATGTTTACATGCACATGAGATAGGGCTTCATTTTTGTTGCAGTTAACATAACTGATTCCTGAGGTGAATGGTGAAATGAATTTCAAAAGTCGAACTTGTTATGCCTTGCATCAAACGCTTTCTTGAGAGGCATATGGTCTGTAAATACCGTAAAGCGTGACTTCTGGGGCACGTATCCGAAATGCTTGTCAGGAAGATAATCGTCGATAACTCCGTGCTGAACGTAATATATAGCTATTGTAAGGCACTAAGTCGTTTCGAGAAGAGAGACAATAGTTCCCATTGGCCATGAATAAGCTGCTGATTGACTGCTCCCAAGCAGTATTCAAAGCATCTGTTAGGGCAGGCTTCAGTTTGCCAAAAGCATAAATGTTTTATTCTCACATTAAAAACCTCTACATGAAAGGAGCCAGTTTACAGGCATCATCACACTGATATATCTCAGAATATCTACAATACTTTACGAGTCCTGAATGTACAGATGGAATGTGATTAAACTCCATTAAAATAGACAGAAGATCCCGCTAGTCGTGAAACGAACAAGGAAATATCACTTTTTAGTGTATACGAGAGTTAAAGTTTAGATAGTAATGAACATGATCCTCATATAATGGGTTTAAAAGCACCGTCAAATTCATGATTTTTGAAAGTTTACAACGGGTGTTTAGTATTAGATAATTCACCACATCAAGTCATTGGTGTGCATAAAGTTATTGAAGTTTACTGAAATTCACTGGATGGGCATGGATTTTCATCTCCCATCACAGATAGGCTCCACTATCAAAAGCATAAGCGCTCAGTGTTCGAAGTTTGAGTTATAACCAACCGGCGTTGTCAGCCCATCGTCGTAGTTTGTTGTTTAGTAATATAACTGTCTATTCCTTAGAATGATCATTGTCTCTTCCTCGCAACAAGTCTTTCAGCGGTTGGGGTGTTTCACTGCAGTTAGCTAAGAAACGTCAATGGAAGCTTATTAACCGAAGAAATCTTCCTAGCTTTCGGAACGAGCTTGAAACAGGATATTCTTTAATTACATCCAATTCGTGTGAAACTGGTTTGACAAAGTTAGCATTAGTTGCTGGACCTAAAGCCGTAGAGATTTTTGCTGGGTTCAACTTCTGTTGATTGATCGTGATGCCGAATTCAGGCAGTCATTCAGAAAGTATTCTAGAAGCTGCAGGTGTTTTTTCAGATGTTCTAGCCGATAGTAAGTCGAAAAAACCATGAAGCATCTGATCTATAACGTTTTGGAAGGTTTGAGCAGCAATTATCAAACCAAATAGCTCATGATCAAGTTCGAACTATCCGAATAGAGTGGCAGTCACCGTTTTGATAACTTCTTTCGGTTCCATGGGGATAAAGTAGTAATCCCGTGCGAGTTCAGTCCTGCTACATTTATTTACTCCCACTATAGAGTTCATTTGATCGCTAACATGAGGGATCGGATGCTTACCATGGACCGTTTTCCTATTTAACTCCCGATAGTCGCAGCAAGGTAGTATCTCAACTGATGTTTTCTTAGAAATCGTGTGCAGGGGTGATGACCATGGGCTCTACGAAGAAGGCATAGTTAACATCTGTGGGAGTCTTAAAATTCTTGTTTCGCTATAGGCATTTTTTAGGATCTAATTGTCGAGGTTTCGATGAGACTGAGGGACCTTTTGTAACAATATGATGTTTCACTGGGTATTCTGGAGAGAACTTCGTGCAGTCCATTTGTGTGAGATCACAAAATTCTCTCGGTAGGACACAATACGTGGAAGTGTCGCTTGCTGAAGCTTCCCCCAGATTTATTGCCTCCGAATGTGTTTAGCGTCACACATTTCCCCAGGACCGACAACCTAAGGTTTGGCGAGATTCAACATTGATGCTGACCTTCATAGTTCAACCGGACTCGCTAAGCTGAAGGCAGATGGTTAAGCATCCTCACAGCTTGGCACACTGTCACGTTACGTTGCACTGCTCGTATTTGACTCTCTAGCCAGTTAGTTGGAATGCTTCGGTGTCTTGGCACGACATCGCAAATATGCTGTTCCATCCGGCTACGCTGTTGTGTTCTGTTTTGGTCTCGTATTCGTGGGTATTTAACAAGTTCGAATAGTTAGTGGTTGGCCTCTGGGTCTGTCAAGTCCGAACCAAAGCAATCCCTAAATCAGTAAGCCCGACGTGACAGAGAATCCCGACTAAGAACAAATATTGAATTTGTGGGCCATTTCCACTCAATATATTCATGTGGATTATATGGTTATGTTAACACGTACTGTTACCTGAAACCGATGAAGTGAAGTTTCGTTGGCCAACGATACTGTACACATGTGGACCGATGTTAAAATAAACGTTTACCTGACGAAACATGGAACTGTACCGCCAAGTTAACCACTTAGATCTAATATTGTGCGATTTTGGCGCCACTTTGCTGTGAAAAAAGAATGGCAGGTGGAGACAACCAAGGCTCATAAACAATTTATATGTACTGCGAAGTGATAGCTTTCCGTTTTTTATGACCTGAAGCCACTTTTGATGTGATGATAAACCCTGATACGGTACCTTCTGCATCTTTCAGGACAGCTCAACTGCTGCAGATTTCTTCACCACTATCAATTTGACGATGCCCGTAAGCTGGCTTCTCTCATGTTAAACTCTTAATTTCAGAATAAAATGTTTGTT